GTTGGGCCTGAAGGGGGGAAGGATGGGGGGCCAGGAGAGACTCGCTAGGCCTCAGTTTGGGTCGGCCAGCCACCCCATTCCCATTCTCATTCTCTTTTCCCGTTCCACTGGTGCCACTGGGGCCGCTAGCTAGAAGGGGGGCAAGGGGTGGAAGAGGAAAGCCACGGGACAGGCGGCAGGTACCTAAGTACCTCTTGCACGCATGGCTTTGCTTCTTTTCTTACCTACCCGGGGTCCTCCCCTCCCTCGCTTGCACTCTCGCCGCTCAACTCCTCCAGGATCCATCAGGTTGACAGCTGCTCCGTTGTTCTCCACACGTCTCGTCTAGTGTCTTAGCTCATTTCTGCTCTCCACGAGCAGCCTGTCAATCTTTGACCTGTTTCGAGAAACGGCATCAACCTACCGACCGCGAATATTTTGGACATTCCGAAGAGGAACCAAATGCCAGCCAACCACCTGCTGTTGTCACCCCTCTGTCTGACAGCCCCAGTCCAACAACTTTCCGGTTCCCGCCCATCATCAGCGTTGCGTCTTAAATCTTGACATTATGTGGACAGTATCCCTTCGAACTGAGAGCCAACCTCGTATACCCGGACAGACACGAACAAACAAATACGAGGGTGATTCTTCACGAGGACCTATGAGTGCGTGCGAGTACAAGGGGCGATGTATCTCCGCAGTCGCCACACAGCTGGTCAATGCCGAAAAGGAGACAACCTTCTGGTGGGTCATGATTGCCTATTCGTACTACCTGTGTTCGTCCCGATGGAGCGTGGACAAGTACCAGGTAGGTACTGCTTCGAGACGAGGCTTTTCTTTTCCGTGGGCTATTTCAGTGCTGTTGTCAAGGGGCCTGGCACTTGGCGCGAAGCATGTTCTTGCGCCTTTGCGCCTTCACTAGGGCTGGTGTGGCCAGTGACCCGGAGAAGGTTAGGGGTGGCTAGCTGGAATTTGTGGGCTTGGGGAATGTGGCTTCGGGGCTTGCTCGCATGGCTTAGGTGTTAGCTTCGTGCCTGGAGATCAAGCCTTACGAGTTCCTAAGTAGGTACCTCTACCGAGTAGGCTTTCCTGTACTAGGCGGTTTCGTAAATAAGCGGCAAACGTGCCCAAGCACTCCCCTACCATGTGAGTAGCTATGTATCTTGCTTTCCTTGTACGGAGTAGGTGCCTTTTCTCGTTATTTAGAACCCACCAGAAACATGACCCGTGACTTTGTCTCTCCTCGTAGTCGTACTCATCGCATGGTCTACTAAGTCCCGATAAGCAAGCTGCACTTCTATTATTCGTTCATCATCTCCTCGAATCATGGCCCTGACCATCGATCGAGCTGTCAAAATGACGAGCTGCTACTACGAGTACGTGCTTGACGAAAAACGCTAGAATTCGTTCAGTGGAGCCTTTCCTCCTTGTGCCCAAAATCGCAGACGATCGGCCGATGCAATCCCAAACCAAAACAACTTCCTCAGAGTTTGTCCCTGCGATCTGCACCAGAGCTTCTCCGGCAACAGTTACACAATCCTCGAAAGTCGATCAACCCCCCTGCATCTCGGACTGGTCCTTGCGTCAAGGTCTTTGCCATGGCAGAGGACTGGTAATCTTCTTGACCATGCACTGACTGCCCTTTTCCCCCGAAACCCCGACGCAGCACAACCACGCAGTGCGAGTGTGCAGAACATCGGGTAGGGATGGTGGTTTGGCAAGTCACACGTTCCACGCGTACGACACACAACCTGACACAACGTCAACTCTTCTACTCGTACAACTCCCATGGGCATGACACACGGTCCCACGAGACGACGTCAAATAGGACCCCAGTAAGGGCACTTGACAGAATCCCAGACTCGCAAGCCCGCCAGTGGTAGTGCCAGGCGTGTCAGGCTGCCAGGCAATAGACGCAGTGCTTAGGTGAGCCTATCTGTCTTCGGATATGCTGCCATCATTGCGCCTGTATCGGGTCCAAATCGCCGACCATGTGGGAACGGGAGTGCTAACGAGCTTGCCCCTTTCAAGGTCCCCAAATTTGGTTTGCGTGCTGCCAACAAAAGGCCAGCAAGCGAGCCTCGTACGCGTACACGTGACGCAGGAGTTTGCGTACAGAAACCCTTACGAGGTACTTGGTGCTTGAAAAGCAGCAAGGCCACGTTAGACCCAGGCGGGCTTCCCAAGCAGCAGATTCACAGGAGATCGGACGGCCGACTGCATCGTTTACCAAACATCAACCTCATGCGCGAGATCCTAGACATGTTCTCGGTAGCACGACAGCAACTTTTGAAACAACCTGTCCCGGGTAACACCCACTCGCTTATTTGTCTTCGGTGAGGTTACTGACCTGACCACCACCACCTGTCTTTTCCAACAAAATAACTTGGTGTACCCAGTCTCTGCCCCTCCTGGCGGCAACCCACAGATAACTCAGTTCGTCCATCATGGGATATCCATGTAAGATATGTCGCTGACATCGCCCAACGACACTCCTTGACCAGCATCACTGAGCACTGGCGAGTAGGAGATTGACTACTCCGTAGCAACTTACCTCAAAAACCAGACGTCGCTGTTGTTCTGAGCTGACAACGGGTGGTTAATTGGAATGCTTAGGCAGGAGCCTATCGCATGTTGCCACCTATCTGGCCATTGCACGGACGATCACCACTCACCATGGAGTCCTTGGTACAGCTGCACAGACTCTTACTTTGAGAGCAATCGTTCTGGAATCCACACCCGGATATATTGACGGCGTTTGACCCTTTATGAGCTCTTGTTCTCGGCACGGCACCGGAAGACAGTGCAGTCTCTCAAGAGTCGGAGGTAGCTCTCCGGGGTTGGGGGCTAGAATGGCTGAAATTGATGCATTCCGACGTCCTTGGGCTTGGCTTGAAGAGGACTTGAACAGCTATTAATTATTATTAGTAGCTCTCTTGGAACGGATGTCCGAATGCAGACGATCCTTCCCTGCGCACCAACACGTTAGCCTCTATGAAGAAGATATTGTTTTCATTCGGACAGAATTCTATATCAAGTGAGTTATACAATACCTCGGCGAGAACACTGACTCTTGATCTGGGTCATACTAGTTGTGACTGCGTCACATTGTTAGCTTAATTTTCACATTCTTCTATAGCAATCAGGTCAGGTACTCTACTCAAACTTAAGTACAAATGATGAACATTGCCCAAATGTCGCTGTCGAGTGTGCTTTTGCCTTGTTCTATTACATATCACGACAAGAGCAATAGACACCAGGAGCTCGTGTTCACTCCGAAAAGAATCCTTGAGAGCAAGACGCTTGTATTTCGTCCAGCGACTTGGCCTGTACCAGTGGTCGTCATAGCAAAGTTTTGAATGCCAGACGAAGACCCAAGATAGGAGTCTTTGAAGACACTATCGTCCACCTGTCCTTGGCTGTCCACAGATCATCGTGGGATACAGGACTTGCCCAGGCATGGCACATTCCCATACCGAAATTTGCGTCCGACGCTCCCGAAATCAAGTAAGGCCGAGCATAAAAACATGGCCAACAGGTCCCTGCAGCAGATGAACAGATAAGCCGCTAGGACGTTTTTGAGGATGTCTGTGACTCTGTGGCCATATCATAGTGTCATGGTAGATGCAACCGCAGCTGTACAAGCTTTTTGTCCAAGAGGAGACCCGTATATTTGAAGGCCAATGATTTGTCCACCTGTTGACGGACCAAGATGCCCTCAGAGGGGGGGGGTTCATCTCTCCTATTAGTCAATCTCAGCAAAGCCTGAGTCTGGCAAGTACAGAATTTGCATTATCCTTGCACAGATTGGCCAAGCAGGATGCCCAGCAGTGCCAGGAGAATTCCAGGCTGGTTGCTGAGCCTTACAGAGACTGATGACGCACCCTCGACGCAAACAAGCCGGTGAACAAGGCGATGCCGAGTATGTCAGCACTTGGACGTTGTAACAAATCATGAGACTAGAGGTAGAAGATGCTCTTGTAAGTGATGTTCAGGGGGGGGAAACTCGCGACAGCAAAGGTAGGCTGCCGTGGCTGCTAGATGGACGGTTGTCTATGAGATGGGAATGTCTTGGGGTTGGGAGAAACTCATTCTGCAGAAGCAGACATTTTGTATAGGTGAAAATTCTTCAGAAGAGTGTGACCCATTGAGCAGTCAAGAATAATTTTTCGTATTCCCCTCGCACGTTGTGCCGTGCTTGGTAGGAATTCGAAACCCCCTTTTCGTCAATAGTTAAGTCCGAGCTCGGCAATTGCGGTTATTCACGTGATCTCCTTCAGGGAATAGTTTTTTTTGGGCTCATTCCGCCAGCTCTGTATTTTTCCCAAAAGTATGGTGATCTTGGTAGTGACGAGGCTCCTCAACGTCGTTCTGTGTTGGACTGGGGAGGCGGTGGTTTCCCCCGAGCGTCGCCTTGTGTGGGTGGCCAGGCAGAGGCAGGGTTCCACAGTCGAAGGCGTAATCACGCCCTATCATCAAAGGGCAGGTCACGCAGCAAGCCGGATGCCAAGAACGCAGGTGGGCAGGGTGAAGTTCTTCAATCTCCTGGCCCTGGAACAAAATATATCAAATACACAGTGTAGCAAACCGGCAACATGCAACGGAAGAAGCAGCCAGCGACGTCCCGCGGTCTCAATGACGCCGGCACTCCGTCCCATGCAGACGCTATCAACCGTCCTCTGGTCCCATGCATCAAAGGGCCAAGATGTGCCTAGAGAAAGAGCCAAGTGCCCAGATCTTGGCCGGGGCTCGAGCAGCGGAAGTGGAGGATTTGAGCCGGATTGAGCGAGCAGGATGATCAGGACCAAGAAGATCGTGTCTCTTGTGTTCTTGGGCGATTCCCGCTCTCTGGAATCATGTTGGTATTTCATTATATCCTTGCTCCCCATGTCCCTTCCGCTAGATCTGGTCAATCTGCACCTGCCCTCGCAACTCGTCCATCGCTTCACCAGCTGCTGCTCCTTTCGCCGCTTCGGTGATGAACAGGACCTGTCCCACCAGAGTCACTTCTGCCGACCAGAATGCCATTCGAGCCGGATCCCGGGACCATGAGACAGACGTCTGCGCATAACCCAGCCAGAAGCAGTCCAAGCTTCCCACAGTCGGAACACCATCACTACCCAGCTGGTCCTCCACGATTGCAACAACCTCCGATTGCCTACGTCTCTCCTACTCTTCGAACCCCGACCACACCTCATCCGAAGGATCCTCTCCGATTACAGACCTCTATCTCTAGTGCGGAGTCGGGGTCGACGCTGGGAGCGGAATACAAGCCATACCTACCCTATAACCAATACCAATACGGGCCGATAGCAGAGAGGGGCTTGCCTCAAGAGACGATCAACCGATACTCGCCCGCGGGCTCACAACACTCGGAAAGTGGTGCTAAGAGAAGCAATCTGGGCGAACCACCGGTGATTGAAGACAATTCGGCCGTATTCCGCTACATCCAAGAAAAGTCCATTGAAGCAGAGGAGGTTGAGACAAAGGATGACCATGCGCTATGGATTCTGGTAAGATACCCTCCTCATTCTGTCGATTTCCCCCGCCTTTATTGACTCGTCTCAGATGTGGATGTCGTTCCTTGACCCATTTCACTGTTTATTCAGCTGTATATTCTCAATATTCGTCGCCCTGGTCATCATAGTCTTCGCCCCCCTCAAACTATGTCGCAAAGAATGCTCGCCCAGTATATCTCTCGTCCGAATTATTGCGCCAGTCTTCCGGAATCACCTGCAAATGATCTTTGCCAAGTCTCTGGACGCTGCTCATACCTTTGAGTTCAGTCCGGTCTGCCTAGTCCTCGTACACATTGCGTCTCCTCTCCTCAGTGTTGGAAACGCCATTGCGGCCTGGATCATGGCTGTATTCTGGGTCTTTGCCATCATCATGGGGAACCCAGATGGAACCGAGAAACGCGATGACGGGCGCGCCTCGGTGCTCCTGTTGAGGGATTGGTGGGAGAAGTGTCTCCTTGTTGCTATACGCAAATAAAGTCTTACCTGCTGTATTGGAATCCGACTGTTACGAAGGCACGATCAGATGGCTATTGTTTGTTGTTTATCCTTCAAAACGGCGCTTGTCACCCCTGCATATTGGCGTCTTCTGGGATTGCATAAAATCTGGCGTGGGAATGTTTCACCTTGGTGGATCAAACCGGGGCTTTTGCTCGAAATTCAAGAGGCTTGAAGAGCATGGTGCAACCGATCAGCTTCCATGCTGCTGGCGAAATTTCACAAGGTGTGATGCTGCATCATGTGCCTTGACTGACACTCCAGCTTTGGCTGCTCTGATCCGAGCTGCCCCACGCTACCTCTTGGACTTTTTTGAGGTTTGATTTATGGAGTGTATGGTCGGGCACAGGCGTGTGCCTATCGGTTATCTCGTGTGGCTTCTGTTTCTTTTCAAGATCAGCGAATGGCGTTATGGGACATTACTAGGGTACGTATACGGTCCAGTCCAGGACGTTCCAAGGCTTCAGGTACGCCATTGTCAGATATCTCTAGAGGAATACCAAAGAGGGAGGGAAAGGTCCTCCTGCTTCGGACGTTATAGAGTGTTTGTTACTAGTGAATCACGCTTTTGTTATTTGCCTAGTATCCATCGTTGGGACCTCCACAGGCCAATGTCGTCCTTGGATCGTCTAAAGACAGGTATCTGTCAAACAAGTATTTAAACCGGACATGTAGAGCCATGCTAGCCACATGTATATCAGATGTATATTCTCTTCTGCGCCGCATCACCCCCCTTGATACCTCTGCGAGATCACTCGTTCAGTGTTTCCAGTAGTGACTGAGGATATTTCCGCCAGGTGGAAGGTGTGCCAACTAACGAGACATATGTAGTATGCCCGAAGTAAAATCCGAAGACCTTGAGACCCGTGAGTCTGGGGAACCTCGAGACATGGAGACATATAGAAGGGACATGACCCGGCCATTGTCCGTGGCCTGCTACACCCACGATTATCGTCCTCACATCTATGTTACGGGTTCACCTTGCAAGAGGGAAGCATGGCGTGACAGATTCGGTTCCGTCGTGACGGTATGTCCGTTCTGTTTGAAGTCCCAGTACAAGTCCCTGTACAAGTCGGGGGGGATCGAAGATGGGAGAATGGGAGGATATGATAATAGTAGATGAAGGGCAAAGAAAAAGACTCGGAAGAGCAACGGGGGAAAAGAAAGGGCAATCCACAGCCCAGGCGGTATGGGATGCCCTCTCTGGCTGAGTTTGCAGGGCATGGCATGCAGAGCCTTGGAACTGAACTCGACTGTGAAGTGGTTGATCAGAGCCGGGTCAATTATTGCTACAGTCACAGCAGTACAGTACCAGTTGCTTGGTATCATGGTTGTTGTGCCAAAAGTTCTCTACCTTTCCTTACTCGACAGCCCAATCAGACCTGCGCCAATGCCACGCATACCTCCCTTGGTCCTAGGTGGACGGACTGGGCAAAACGAAGATGTGCCTCTGGCTCATCGGCCATGTACCCATTCCCTGCCTTTGGGTTGGGCCACAACGCGACCAAAAGGACGTGGAGCAGGAGAGAACAGCATTCCCATCAAGTTTCATTTTCAAAGTCTCTGCTTGCGCCGCTCGTGTCCAGCTTTATTCTTACAGGTTGGTCAGATAGTCTTCTATCTCCTCTTTGCTGAGTTTGCGGAACCTTGGGCCGATCGCACCATCGACGCCCTCGTATCCGAGAAGATGGTTTGCAGGCTCGCCCACAATGCCGATCTCCACCGTGTCGCCGTTCATTTCTCCCTCGATGGTCTCCTTGAGTGTTAGAAGCGCGATGTGAATGGCGTCCTGAGAAACTGTCAGTGTTCCTGCCTCGGCACGATTCTGTACGTCGACTCACCTCCAACTCCAAAGAATCATTGTATCGCTTCTCCAAAAAGGTCTTTGCACTTGTTGCACTCTTTCCGATGGCCGTGGCCTTCCACGGGAAATAACTGCCACTGGGATCAACCTGGTAAAGACTGGGTCCGCCCTTCAGAATGCCACCCGTTTTCCTGCTTGCTAGCTTGGCCTCTGCTTCGGTCTCTCCCTCTTTTGCAGCTGCAGTCTCTGGCTCGATCCCGTCATCCCATCCAGCTATCAGTAAGCTCACACCGTAGGGCCGTACACCGCCAGACTGCGTAGCTTCTTGCATCACTCGAGCCACATCCTGAACCAATATCCGTGTTGGAGGGTATTCATTGTAGATGCGCTTGTAGTTCGTGTGTGAGACTTTGCGAGCTTTGTCCACTAGTACTCGGTAATCCGGGCCCATACCACTATATACCATGCCGATGTTGGGCGTGATGAGGGATACTTTCGACAGGGAGGGAGGATCGATTAGAGGTGATGACGACTTCTTCTCGGTCGCGAGAACGATGCCATTTGTAGCTGGGATTGTCCATCAGTACCCTGTGCAGAGGTGTGGTTCAAAGCAACCGTACCTTTTATGCCTAACGATGTGACACCCTGATTTACTGCGTTGAGAGCATATTCTGGGCAAAAAGTGAGTACAGATCGAGTCCACTTTTCCCAATATTCAAGTACCTATCTGGACGAGTTTGCCGCTGTCTCGGTTAGCATGGAAGATTCGTTGCGCAAGTTATAGACACGGGGGGCATACCTGGGCGAGAATGTGGTGAGGGAAAACGAGTATCTGTCGGCCATTCTGGCGTCAACGCAGAGGAAGCTCGTAAAAGCGTTTTGCTTGCCCTCGACAGTATAATGGAGGGTTTCGAGGAGGAGTACAAATTGTAGGAGGAGCAGGGCCGACTATGCAATATTCACAGAGACAAGGTCAAGCGGACGAGGACCAGAGACGAGGCTGCAGGCCAATGGCGCGTCCAGGTAGAAACGGCGGATCATGTCATTTACTGTACCGTATACGGTAGAGCATTTATTCGATAACGCAATTATGCCAGCCTCGCGCAAAGAAACAGTTGCACCCAGTTGCTAGATCCCTAGCTAGTGTGACTGCGACGTACGCTGCAAAATGTAATGTACTCGGTAACCCGTAAGCCCTGTTCTATAAGACAGTCTCGGACAAAAGTAGCCTAAGACTTTGTCCACGGGATAGATTTTCAGATTACATCCCCAAAGCACCAACATTGGACAACGCTCGGGTAACGTCTCAATCTCTACCTTGCTGACCACAGGGAACTAAAGTCTTTCAGCATCTGTTAGACCTGAGAGTCCAGCACCCACATCACGAATCATTCCATCTCAAAGAACCTTTCCATTGTGCATCACAATAGCCTTTGCTGACCTGTGGCTCCTCCTAATTTGCCCAAAATGAGGTAAATGCGATTCAGCGTGAACCCGGATGTCGTCCAGAGATGTCGAATTAATTTCCAGATTGGACCGATATACTCCACAATGTACTTTGCTTTCCTTTACTCCATCGCTCGGAAAAGGGATGGAGACATCCTCAGTGCTGAAACTGCTAAAGACACAATGACCAACACCATCTCTCAAGAATGCCATGGACAGACTTCAAACTTCGTCAAAGACCAGAAGCGACGTAAGATTGTTCGTAGTATTCATCTCACTCTCCCAGTTTTCCGCCTGTCCCTCTCCTCTTCTCACTCAACCACCCACCTTTCCCTTCGCCAGCCCATCTCTTAGCACCTGTCCAGAATCTCACTAGGCTCTCTGCTCCAATGTTGTCGTTTTCTCTGTACAGATTCGCGATATCCACATTCAAAGGGCTGTCCAAACCCGGAGAAATGAGCAGCTGTTGAATCGCACCCATGGTGGTGCTCAGTGTATACGAGGGTGCCCAGTGTTCGCCGCTCAACAATGTCAGACAGATCTCTCCCGTGGAAAAATGCACGTTCGGGTGGCATATGGGCGTGATGAATTGAACTTTGGGAGGGGTGAATGGGTAGGTCGGAGGCACGGTGATGGACAGAAGCCATAACCCGCCGTGATACGGCGAGGCGGGGTCTCGAGGACCTTTCAGGACGGCCTCCCACTGGAATAAATCTTCCTCGTTGACGGGACCGAGGTGAAGGACCGCTTCGTTGGGTGAGGATTGGAGGTCTTGCAGTTCATGAGTGAGCCGTTTGAGGGCGTTGGTTGAGGAGGATTTGCCGCTGCGAGGGGTGGATGACATTGCGGCGGATTAAATAGGACTGTCCGCAGGGGTTTGTAGGTGGTGCTGGAGATCTGTTGCAATGGACGATTCCAACAACGTAGAATATGGTCACAAGAGGTGAGATGGTGTCTGGTGGTGTCCAAGTGGCTGGTTGTTTTGTCCAACAACAGCTCCGCGCATCGCTCAGCTCAAAGCAGCCGAGGTTGTGCCTGGAGAGTTAACGACGCCACCAATTAAGCGTCAGTTTCGCGGGGATGGACTCGCGACGCAGCGCGTGTCACGCCCCTAGATTTTGGATCGTCCAGGGGCCATGCGAGATCTGCGGAGTGGGCAACCTTGATCACTTACCGTCATTCCCACCTCTCTGCGCAAAGATTACTGTGCAAGATGCGGACATCTAAGATCTCGCAAGAAACGACACGAATATTCAGTGCCCTATCACAGAATGCTCGCGTCGGTCGCACGACAAGGAGTTCCAAACGACTGGCTTCCTTTGCGCTGGGTTACGATCCGAACGTTGAGGCAAAAGAAGAAGATGAAGCATCAGTGCATGAGACGAGTGAAGGTGTCACACCGGCAGCAGATATCGAGGACGCTCTAAGCACGCCACCTCGCTCAAGCAGAAAGAGGAAGTTTGACGCTGACTCGCTGTTCTCTTCGACTCTTGTTACAAGCACGACCGAATGGACCTCGCCACGCAAAATTAAGAAGGAGGAAGAGGGTGGTGATGGTGACGAGGCAAAACGGGATCCATCTCCTAGTGGGCGGGTGAGATCAAAAGCAAAGCTTCCAGCACGGAGGACAACCTCGCCGTCAGGGACAGTGCGGATACATCCTCCCTCCAACTGGGCTGAGATATATGATACAGTCAAGGCTATGCGCCAAAGAAACCCAACTGCTCCGGTGGACACCATGGGTTGTGAAGAGCTCTTTTGGCCTGCCGCTCCGCCACGAGAGAAACGCTACCACATTCTGACAAGTCTAATGCTGTCCTCTCAAACAAAAGATACGGTGACAGCAGTCGCGATGCAACGCCTACATACAGAATTAGTTCCCCAGCCGCCCATTGTGAATGACGAGGCACAACAGTCGACCCTCACAGTCGAGAACATAATCGCCTGTGACCCAAAGCACCTCGACAACCTCATCGGCAAAGTCGGCTTCCACAACAACAAAACAAAATTCATCAAGCAGGTCGCCACAATCCTCAAGGCGGAGTATAACTCCGACATCCCCAACACGATTGAAGGGTTGGTCCGTCTCCCAGGAGTGGGGCCGAAGATGGCATACCTCTGCATGTCTGCCGCATGGGGGATAGATGAAGGAATCGGTGTGGATGTCCACGTCCACCGCATCACCAACCTGTGGGGATGGCACAAAACCAAGACACCGGAAGAGACAAGGGCGTGGTTGGAAGGATGGCTGCCCCGCGACAAATGGCATGAGATCAATAAGATGCTGGTGGGTTTGGGCCAGACGGTATGTCTGCCTGTGGGGCGGCGGTGTGGTGAGTGTGACCTTGCCGGAACGGGTCTGTGCAAGGCAGAGATTCGAGGTTGGAAGGCAACAGAGAGGCGAGTAAAGAAGGAGAAGGTGGAGGTAGACGTCGAAGGCGGCGCTGTGGTCCTGAAAAAAGAGGTACAGGGCAGTAAGAGGGTTGAGATCAAAGAAAAGGTGGAGGAATCGTGATGGCGTTATTGAAGAATGGGAAGTATCTCTTTACCCTCCAAGACTGAAAAGACCGGCACCCCCTGGCGATTTTGACCGGACATGACCACATTATCCCTCTCTTCCGAGCCCCAGTGTGGTGTCTCCAAAACATGCATTCACCGAGAATGCATTGCATTGGTGTGAAGTGCCTCGCACTCTTGGTAGCAGGTTGCTGTTGTTGTATGCGCCACTCATGCTTGATAAGCTGGAGGTGGCTCCGAATTCCAAGGCGCGTAGCCCTTGTCGAGCACATGTGCCCGAGGAGGAGATTTGACTGGGCTGTTGGCGAGGCTGTGAGAATTCCTGTCCGAAGGTTGAGCGGAACGACGAGGACCCTGTCTTCGTTGCTGGAGGTTCAGTTTGCGCTGTCCTCTCGTCCGTGCATCAGCTAGACAGAGAGAACCTATCGCTGTGATGACGAGGACGACGATGATGCAGATGCTGATGATGCCGGTGGTGCTGAGAGTGATCCCACCGTTGCTGCTTGAGAAGTCGCGTTTGTCGAGGGAAATATACATTGTGGTGGTGGTGGATTGTGAGAGTGTTTGGGAATTCTGGGAAGCATGTACTGAATTTACTTGCATCGTCTCCCGTGGCGTGTGCTCGACAGAGACATATATATCCTCTGCCGCATTCTGGTGGCTACGCCTTGAAGCGCCCACGGGCGTATGGCAAGGCTGAATTCAACGGGGCGAGGATTTGGGCGGAGCGGGTGGACTAGGCATCCCGCTAACCTCATTTGGTAGCTTTCCGTTCACAAACGACAACTCTGCATAGCTTTGCGGCTGTCATTGACCGATCGACCAATGTTCGTGATGGTCTCGACCTGATATCATGCATATTCTAAGGGTATTGTTCTTGGTTGGTCGCGTGATAGCAGCCCAGGACGGTAAAGAAGGCAAAATCCGCGCTCTGTTACCCCTGTTGATGGATCGTGGTACGGGACTCAATGCGTACCATTTACAGAACTCGCCTCGAGTAGATATGCCTGCACTCAACTCCAACATGAGTAACATTAGCCTGCAGATGAAGGCGGAAAGGCAAGGCACGAGAGCCAAGGCGTGTAAGGTAAGGAAGTAATGGAGAGTGGCACCGCAGCGGCAGCACGGGCGGCAGAGAAGCACAGCCTCATCAGCCCTGTATCTAGCTACCAGCGATACCTCTACATCTACAAAATTCAAAGGCCAGCCTCTGGAAAAGCCCACAAGAAAGTACGGCGGCAGCTGATTTCTCTGAATTGGTGTTGAAATGAAGCAGTGGGTTGTGGATGGAAATGCCTCCAAGGCTATCTTTGGTCCCCATCGAGTACGCACGATGGGTACTGGCAACGGACGCGGTATCGAAACAACTGGATCGAGCGTAACGATGTCAACTGGGCGCTTGCAACTGAATATTCCCTTCTTTTTTGGTGTCCAGCGATAGTCCATCTCTTGAAATGCTCAGGGATTTCGACACTGCAAAAACTATTGGATGTATGCAGGTTGATCGTGTGATGAAGGATGGACTTTTCAAAGCACTCGGTCAGGGGTGTAGAGCCGCTGCAATATGTGGTATATAGTTGATACAACAGGGGGACAGTAGTCCAACGACCTCTGTACAGCGGGCACAAGGACAAGACGTCAGGCGTATTTGCACGGCCGAGTATGGACAATGTTCACTGATAAAAGCGGCGTGGTCATAGATTGTCGCGAGGCTCCATGCGGCAGGTGCGACGGTCCCTTGGTAAAGCGGCCGGAGAGTTTCGCTCTGCGGACCGCTGACAATCTAACTGCTTGCCTGTTCACACGGAGGTGAGGTGCGTGCACTGAACCCAACACCTGCTCATGATATCCTTTTCTCAGATGATTGTTTATGGCGGGTTGTGATTGAAAGCAAGAACTTTATACCTTCTTTTGTATTCCTGAGCGTCTTCCCAAGGTTTCTGTTCCTGTCCTTTATTGCTGTATCTGTTCCTCGTCCAAGTCGCCCTTCCGCAACCCATCTGTCCACCATGTCAGGCATCAAGCGGATCGAGAAATGGGAAATCGACCGATACTGGGAGATCTTCTCCTCACTAGTCCAGCAACCTGCCACACCCTCTTCGCGCCTGACGAACCAAGCCGCAGCCAACGTCCTCCGGAATTCGCAGCTGAGAGATGACCAGCTCGAGCGTGTATGGGATCTTGCGGATGTCGATGGGGATGGCGAGCTGGACTTTGAGGAGTTCTGTGTCGCCATGCGACTCATCTTCGATCTTGTCAACGGCGAATACCAGGATGTGCCACCCAGCCTACCTGACTGGCTTATTCCCGAGTCCAAAGCCCACCTTGTCCAGGCGAACCGGGCCCTGACCGGACACCAGCAGGCGCAGTTCGACAGAATCGAGGAAGATGAAGAAGACACTGGACTAAAGGATGGTTTTGATTGGTACATGAACCCTAGCGACAAGCGAAAGTACGAGGAGATCTATTCTGCAAACAAAGACCGGAGGGGGGAGATCAGCTTCCAGAGCCTGCACACGCTCTACTCCAGCCTGGATGTGCCGGACACAGATGTGCGGAGTGCGTGGAACCTCGTCAACACGAGTGGTCGAGATACCATCTCGAAGGATGCCTGTCTCGCGTTCTTACACATCTTAAACTACCGTCACGAAGGCTTTCGGATACCGCGTTCTGTGCCACCGAGCTTGAGGGCAAGCTTTGAGGGGAACAAGATCGACTACCAGATCGATAATGTCAGACACAAACCGAACAAATACGATGAAGAGACGTCTACAGGGCGAAAAGCCAAATTTGGAGACGCTTATCTGAGCCGCATCGGTGGAAGGGGCGGCTCTTCCTACCAGCCCAAAGGTACCGACTTCTCAGACGTGGTGGAGGATGAGGAGCTTGAGAAAGTCAGACTTCTACGCGAGCTGCGCGAGCTAGAATCCCAGCACGAAGCAGCGATGGCGGCCTCGGAGCGCAGACGGAAGCAACGATCAGAGAACGGAGGCCCTAGACAACCAGGGAAAACGAATTGGACGCTCGTGAAGCGCGAGGCGCAGCAACTGCTGGAGTACAAGCAACGACAATTCGTCGAACTCAACTCGGAACAAGGGGATCAATCAGGCAGTGATTTGAAGAGGCTGAGGGATGATCTTGCACTGGTAGCCGAGCAAATAGACGGTCTCGAGTCGCACTTGAGGAAGCGGGAGGCAGATCTGGAAAACCTTCGCAGAGAAATTGAGAACGAGAAGGCGAGCAGATAAAACCCGTGCAGGCTGGGAGAAAGGGAGAGATGGAGGGATACAGTAATTCAGACCGCTCAAAGGCACCATTGGTTCCTCTTGACGAGGTGCTCTGTACATGTTGTACACATTTGTACTGTCGAATGCGATTTCGGGGAAAACAGAAGACGCCTCCGTGATCTGACTACCTATCGGTCCGTACTTTTCGTAGCCCGTCCGTGTTGAATGTGTCGCCTCTCTTGAAGTTTGCTAGATTACCGTCAATATCGCCGCTTGACTTATCTCGCGACCATTGGAGAATCGACCCACCATCAGCTTCTTCCCAAGCTCTTCCGGCGCCGAAGCCCGTTCCAAGCCATACTGGCCACGCTCTTCTCTTGAACAACAGTACTGAGAATATGACACCGAACGAAAAGCCGAGCGCGGATCTGATGACCAAGGACGAAACTGCGCGATCCCACTGCGTATAGTGTCAGCAATTGACTCTTTAGTACTCTGAGTGCTGAGCGGGAACGGGACAAATGCTGCAACCTGTCCGCAGGCTGTTTCGCGAGCATATTCTAGGGTGAGGAGCTTCGCATCACCACCAGCCCTTGTTGTGCACATACCTTCTCGTTCAAAAGAGCTTCGCTCACTGGTCTCGATTTAGCCACCGGTAAGGGAGGGCTTGAAACGTTGTCGTCCGGCATCTTGGAGAACTGCAAAGGTTGTTAGTTCAAATGGTCCGAAGAGGGGGGAAACGCACACAGTACCTTTTTGCGGCGATCCAAGGATATGAGTTGCCTCGTGGACGTGAAAGATGAACAAAAAGGTTTACGAGCTGTTGTTCAAACTGGGGGGAGCTTTGGCAAACTGCGCAGTTCGGAGCGGAAACAGCAACCAGCTCACAGAAAAAAGGTAAGCCAATCGGAGCCTGGCTTGGCATTCCTCAATCCTCTCGGAAGACTACAAGTATGTAATTTATCAAGAACAGGTGACTGGGCTTGAGGTAGCATTCTCTCGCTGAAAGTCCCTGACGAGACTGGTTGGGAGACAGTGGTCACGACGCTTCCATTCTTTGTCATTATCGTCTTGATGGTATATACTTTGAAATGTACAACATGCCCGGATAAGGACAGGATACCAGCTGCGTCTACTGCTGTCAGTCCTTGATTGATTCGAGATTGATCGCTTCCGCAGATCTAGCTCTTATACCGCTGCAAACAGTCGTTGGAGGAAAACACTGCAGCATTTGATATGCTCCATTCAAGACTTCGATGTACAGTTTGATCATACGCGTAAAGCAGCCAGGGTCTAGTCCTGAACAGGAAAATCTCCCCTTGGCGCCCGCCATATTTCTTGGCGAAATTTTCCAGATTCAACTCGAGCTTCGTTCATCGCAGAGTAGTATTCATATGTCCTATGAAAATTTCCGCTGCCGAATCATGCAACCATATCCGTCAAAGTCAGGTTTCTGCCGTCATGTGTGCTGAGAAGAGTCCCTCACCCTCAAGATGGCGAAGGAATCGTTCGAGGCCCAGATGGCCGGCTTGGAAAAAGCCCAAGGACAGCCAGAGAAGATATTAGAAGAAGCTGCCAGCATCCTGGGGCTCGACCTCGAAGCTACTATTGCACAAGGCGCCACGGATCCCATTTTTGAAACGTCTCCCGCATCGCACGGTTTTAAAGAGCAATGGGTTCTGCGCTGGCTCCTGAAGAGACTGGGAGCCTTGGACAAAGCGAGGAATGGAGAAAGCAAGGTTGGGGCCTCTCAAAAAAGGTACGACACAAACACTGTGCAGTATCGATTCGATCCACATCTAATGTGTGTCTAGTTTCATCCTGTCCCCGAAGTTCTGGTCCCTCCTCCTCAATTTACTTTGCTCAATACCTGGCGATGTGTGCTCAGATATTCTTCTCGAGCGAGACTTCCCGCGATTGCTGGTTGGCTTTAATCGAGAGCTTCTTTCCCTGGAAACTCGACTCAGTCCGATCGCAATGGAGGACAATGATCTTGAAAACGGTTGCCGTCCAGCAAAACGGAGATGCTTGTCCCCGTTAGTGGACAACCCAAGTGCAGTGCTCCCCCAGCAAAAGTTGCTATGGTTGGCTTTGCAAACAGGTAGTCGTTGCGTCGGCTTGTCTTCCACGTCTTCTACTCCTCCCCACGGGGCAACTCGTACCCCTTTGACAAAGACCGCATCGTGGACAGATCATTCCGCCTTACTGGGTAGCTTGCTTGAGCTAGTGGCATGTATCCTTGATCAGAGCATTGGCAGCCCAGATCCTTCTCTCATTTCTGCGATACTAGAGACATTGCTGTCCTCTTGGGACGCGCTTGCCCCTACCTTCCAGAAAAACTCGGACGTGCAGGACGAGGCATTCTCCTCGCATTGCCTTCTCCCCTGTCTGCGTCTGGTCGACATTTTGGCCAGATTGGGGTTCAGCCAGGGACCCTTTGCGCAATCCAGAGCTGCGCTTGAGCGCCTGATAGCGCTACATGTCGTCTTCCCCTTGCGAGCAATGTTCAACGAACAATTCACCAAGAAATGGAGGGTCGTAACGGACATTCTGCTCTTCGAGCACATGGAAACTTTGCTAAAAGCATACAACAACCTCATTATTTGTGCAGAGAACGAAAATTCTCAACAGTTCGGGCCGAATGCTGTCCTAGGCATCAAGGAATTCTCCTGGATCATCCTCGATGTAGCTGTGCGCTCGATGCCCGTTTTAGACTTCCGCAGGCGACAACAGGAGCAACCATATATTGACTCCTTGTTTATTTGGCTTGTTCATATCACCTGGCCTCGTATCCCGCACATCACATCAACTGGGGTCCTCCAACAACCACCACCTACCGTTGGCTCAATTGCTGGTGTTCAGGATACGTGGGCGCAATCAACGGAGCGTCTGATCGAAGTTGCTCACAAAAGAAAGCTGCAACTGGGCCTGCAAATAATTACCTACGTCCTTCAGGCTATGTTAGCTACAGACACGGAATCGGCACCCTGGAGTCTTTTGGCCAAAACTATTCAGCTGGATGTGAATATCCTAGTATCGCACTCGAGCCTCTCCACTTCCACAACCCTCTTGGAACAAGTCTTGGACCGGATTGAATTAAGCACTGTCTCTGAAACTGCGTACGACCTTGTGCGAGATCAAATTATTCGCCCCTTGCTCCGAAGCTTTGCCCGCTCTAGAGATCTGGATAGTTTCATTATTGGCTGGCAAAGAATGCTCGCTGAAGCAATAAGGGTCCGTTACACGTCGAGACACGATCAAAAAGACTGCTCTGCTGTGTTGGCTTGGGAGGACGAAGACGTCTTCGACGAATATAAACCTCTCGTCGCTGTATATGCGCCACCAAACATGGGTCAGCGGATGCTCGAGAGCTTGATTGAACCCATCGCCGAAATCGCCGACAAGGTTGGCTCTACGGCGGAAGTCTTTGCAAGGCTGGCTATTTTCTGCGCCATCCTGGAAAGCCCGTTATCCGAAGTCAGAAACCCAGGGTTCGACCAACATCAACTGGTTGTTCTATTACACGGGGCAAAGAATGCTCTGTCTCGAAGGTCGGACTATCAAGGCCAACGCTGGAGGCTGTGGAGACTGATTGGACTTGTGGTGCAATCGTTAGATGGCAAGGCGCTGCCTGCTGATCTTGAGACGTTGCTGGACTTTGCCAACCACTTCGTGTCTCTGCAGGACATTCGGAGCTTTCAAGAGGCTGACACAGGCAGACACGTGGCCAGGTATCTTGAATGTCTCGAATGCTTTTCTCTCCTTGTCCAGTTGGCTTCGCAATCGAAGCAATACCAACCAAGACTGGAATCAGAGGCGAGCCATCTAGCAGATCTGTTGCAGCGCTTGGATCAAGATCGTGGAATCCTGTGGGATGGGCGTCGCTCCAAGTGCAACAGCGTCCATGATCTGGTGGCTGCATGCGTTGGCAGACTATTACAAAGCTCCAAGTTGTTCTCAATGTACCCCGAAAGCTTTGGCGCGTTCATCCAGGCCTGCCTCGAGAAAGTCTTCCAGCCCTTGCAGCAAGATTCCACAAGCGATGCTCTGCCAGATTTGCACGACCTTCTGCTGGCTATGTTGGAAGTTGAGGACATTTCCCGGACTCCGGCTCTACGACGCCTGATTTTCGACTACATTGATAAGAACCTGTGGTCGACCAATAGCAGCAGAAAGGTTTGCATGAGGCTTCTGCACCGCCTGTCAATGGAAAAGTTGAGCAAGCCAATGATCAAAAACTTCGTGGCTTCGACGCTCCGTCGGCTTTTTGACGAGCCGAAGCAGGCAAAAATCGAGACCATTTCAGACGATTTGCACCTCTTGACTTGGCTCGACTCGACATTCCCTGGTGCTTTCATTGACTACAGAGAATGGCGCAAGTGGATTGACCTTGCTGTGGCTGTCCTCCAGTGCAATGGTGGAGAGGCTTCGCAAGTAAAGCTCACGGACAGCCAGACATACGTGTCGTCGTATGTGACGGCCGGACGCATCTTAGCCCGGGTCTTCCAGTCAAGCCTGATACGAAATCTGACCGTCTCGAAATCCTCCGCAATGGAGGCCCTGGCCTACCTGGTTAAGACTGTTCAAAAACAAGAGGCTCGCAGAAAGGGCTCTGTTCCACTCTCCTGCTTGCGGATTTTCTTCGATTTCGCCTATCGGTTGGGCAGCGCACTGGACGGCGACCACCAACGAAAGGACGTTGAGTTCTTACAAGCAGTCCTTGCAGCGCGTGTGAGAGAAGAATCTGACAAAGCTCTTCCTGATGCGGCAAACTCGGCGAATCTCCTCAGACTCCAGCCAATTGTCGACGCGCTCCTGTCCCTCGAAAAGGCTGGTCAAACGGACGAGTTGCGGGATATTGCGTCGGCTATCCAGGAAAAGCTCGTGCATATCGAAGCATACACTGGGCAGGAATATGCTGTTAGGCCAAATTGGCGGATGGAGCTCTCGCTGCGACGTCAGTGCACTAACTCTCCACTTGCGCCACAGAAACGACACGTCCAAGAGCTGTCCTCGTTAATCACGCCTCTGGTCACCTACACCAACGAGAGCGCCGCTGCTCTTGCTGCTGAAGCAGAGATATTCATTTGCCAACTCGAGCCGGCCAGCTGGCCTGCGACGTTGGAGCTTCTTCTCCAAAAGAGCGAGCAAGTGGAATGTCAGCCAGCATGTGCGGTGATTATGGCTTGCATCTTAGGGCGTATCAAGACACAACACATATTGCGATACCCGACGTTGGCTCAGGCTCTAGCGCAGGTTGTGTGTATGAGCACCGCATCCACGCGACTCAGCACCACCGGCCTACTTCTCGCCTTGGAAAATTGCAAAAGTGCGCTCGAACTTCATCCCATGGTGGTGAATCAATCAGTCCTGGATCGGCTGCTGGCATCGCTGCACGCCGTCGCCTCTGCGGAACCCAACGGAGCGCGATCTCTGCAGATCAGAGATCCAGATACTGGCCCCACACCGGCCGACATTTATCGACGGATATGTGGAGTCATTGGAGCTATACTTGGAAGACACCGCAGACGCCTCACCGATCGTTATCATTTGTTACTTCCGATCCTACAAAGCCTCTTGCGATGTCTGTTTTGGCCGGGTCAGAGAGCGCTGGAAAGTCACCGAGGCAGCAGTGCGAATGCAATCAAGTCCTTCGGCAGGTCAATGCCCACGTGGCTGCATGAAACTGCAGAATCCCTGCCGCAGTCCTCGGCAGAGCAATTTGCTCGTCTCCTGTCGTCAATCTCGAATCCCACGGTGTCGGCTGCACGATTGTCCAATAAGCGTGGCCGCAACGAGCTGAATGATGTCGTGAATCGAGCCCGGAAATTGGCAGGCCAGCACATGCAGTATCTTGTCATGGAGTATTGCCGATGTGTCCTTGATGGGCAAATCAACCCGTCAACCAAGGACCAGTTGATGCCAGGGATGTATCGAGTCATGGACGCCCTCGACCGAGACGTCATGAGGGCCATGAATGCAGGTCTAGATCCAAGCAGCAGAACTATATTCAAGGGGCTGTATGACAGTTGGGTACGGTATGGCAAATGGGACAAGAGTTAGATGGGGTGTGCCCTGTAAGATCCGCTCTCTCTGCAGAAGATGGCTGATGAAGAAGCACCATGCCAGCTGAGCGATGTACGCGTCACTGGACACAACAGATGTCAAACTCTGCGGGATCGAGGAAAACCAATCAACCCCGGTTTTGAATCTTGACTACATCTCTAGCCATCGATTGCGGGGGTGACATGCTGGACGAGTGTCAACCGGGATGCTTCTCGAACCTAGAATATTGCAGTATGTTTTCACTCCCGCATTTCGAAACTTCAATCCCACTGCTTGCTGGACAAATAGATATTGGTGTTATCGTACCGGAGTGCGAGATGAGGCCGTGGAACCAATTATATACGCAGACTCTCGCCCCATGACCAGTCACGGAGACTAAGGCTGCAAAGGTGGCGCCCACGGCGCACTGTACTACTCTCCTATAAGTCGTCATAAATTTACATTTCCGTATCTTTTTCTTCTCTCTCCGTTCCTTGATGCTCCTCTGAATCACCCGGAGCTGCGAGTCCGTGGCAGACCACATGGTCATTCGCAAGGCGCAGTGAGTCGCACATTCTCGGCTCGAGTTCTGCACTCGCTGGTCGGGCGCAACACGAGACAAGACGGGCGCAGGGCAGCACAGCCCGCTCTGCGGAACAAAACAACAAACTGGAACTGCGACAGCTGATGCCCATCACCGCCACTACACTGCACTGCACCTTACTATTCGCCATTGACTGTGACTCTCTGCTCGTGCATCAAAACTTGTTTGAGACGGCGGTGCACTGACGACAACGTTAGTCATGACCTGAATGCCAGCACACCACCTCTGCTTCTCCTCTCGCTGTGTCTCGTCCATTGGGATAAGAGCTTACTGCTGCTCTTCGCCGTTCTCGTTCTGGCATCCCGACAATGATTTGCGAACCCTGTTTGTCTCGCAGACCCGAACGTCCCTGCCGACGAACAGCCTCGCGCGTGGCACCCGTGGAGTCTGTCATGCGCAACTGAGTCACTGCAGCAAGTCCTGCACGCTCATCAATCTTGTGACTCTAGCGCGACAACGGATGCATGGATGAGACGGCAGGGGGCAGTCCAAACGGGCTATTCCAAGTCGGTGAGCTTTTCGGGAGACAGCAGGCCCAACAACAGAAATTCAACAATCTATTGCTCAACGTACCCCGGATTTGGATCTGGCACGCGGGACGACACGAGAGACCGAATTCACTTTTTTGTTTTCAGCTGCGGACAATTGGGGCCACGGTCTAGGCTTTGCACGCAGCTCGGCAGCGGCCGGCTTTTCACAGACGAGTGGGAAATGCTGCAAACTCAGCGGTCTTGAGCAACAACCCAGGAGAGTCACATTGCACAGAGACCGTGGCGGAGCTGGATGAGTCCACGTCGTCGACGAACAGACTCTTGGGTGGCGCCGTATCACCCTGGAAAGCGGCTCTGCGGGGATCCTGCGGCGTATCGTGACTTTACGAGGACTTGCTTAGGCCAAGAGGACGTGGACTGGAGTAGTCGGTAAAGAATGCGTAGTGGTCTTGTCTTTTTAGTGGAGGTCTTGGGAAGGGCATTAGCTTGTAATTGTGCCCTCAGGCTGGCCATACAAAGGGTTTGCACTGGGTACATAGTTACATATTAATTAACAGGCAGGCAGGCAAGGCAGGGTTGGCGGCCCCACTATTCTATCGACCAGTAAGGGAAATAATCCGGATGTTTTGACACCACAACAACCGAGCTCACTTCATCGTAGTGGACACGTATGTACGACCTACATAATTAATTGAGGCTCTGCAGCCTAACTAGGTAAACTCGTTTGATTTGTTCAAGTTCATTTTCCCCATTTACCACCTTCCACCGTTCTTTCTTTCTATCATTCTCTCCTCAACTCAACCAATGATGCTTCTTCTTCATCTCGATTGTTCCAACCTAGTTTTCTAACTTTTTTCCATCCGCATACACTTGACTCCCTGGAAATGCAAAGAGGGGAGGATCAGGCGTATATTTTCCTGCCTTAGGCCTTTTCCGAAACTAGTCTTACACAGCAGCTTACATTGTAGTCGACCGAACAACAACCATGTGTCAGGCTTTTTTGGAATCGGGCTCCGTCTCTCCCCATCGTTCCTTCTTTGCTCGCCACGAATGTCTGGCGCGGAAGATTACGACCGGGACGATCCATCCATAGGCTGGCCCACTTGAGGCTCTGTCGTCGTCCGAAAGTTCACCCCCCCCTCCCCCTCTACCCTACCCCCATGGCTTCCGGCTTCTCATATTTTCATCAACGACTGAGACAAGGAAACATCACATCTTTCAGCCTCATGACTTTGCCCTGCTTCTGCTCCTTCCACGCGGTGCCTTGGATGTGATAATGGTCTTGTGTTCCTACTGTTCTCAGCCTCTCTTGCTCTGCTGCCGTCGTTACCTCATGCTCACGTTAGAGGTGATTTCCATCTCTACACCACTTGTTCTGCGTGGCTGCCGTTGCTGTCGTCGACGAAGGGCATGTTCTCTCAGTTCGTCCAGTTACCGTTCGATGTGCATCATCAAATCGCAACCAGACTCGACGTGCGGTCGTTTGACAAGTTGGCAAAGACGTGCAAGTCTCTACGGCGACATCTCCAGGATGAGAATACCGCAAAGCATGCCATCCAGGTAGGCACAATTCCACTCCTCTGCCTAGGGGGGCTTTCATCTATTCATCGGTAACCGAGCCCTCCCCCTTCGTGGCTGACCGACAACCAGGCAAGTCTGCGACATTGTCTCTGGGTACAGCTTTCCCTGTCTCCCGCGGCGCCCGGTCCGAGACAGACGCTGTCCCGGATCATCGACTCTCAGTCGGCCTTGCAACAGGCGTTGCCCTATTCGGCATGTATTATAGCATATGCCAGCAGCTTTGCGTATTCTTTCGGGATTTTGTGCTACACGACGGCGAACGGCCTGCGGATTCTGAACTTCAACAGCCGTCGAGCCACCGAGAAGGTGCTCGACAGCAGCGTCTTCGCCCGGGAGATCAGTGTCACGACCAGGGGAGAGGAAAAGACGGTAGATTTGCAGTCGATCAAGTCGGTCCAGGTGCAGAGTTACGCCGCGGGCGTGGTGGTTCTCCTGTGTGATTTCGGGCCTTTTGGCCAGTATATCTTTGCCTTGAATATAGCCGACAATAAGACATCGTCCACTCGCTTGGAAAATGGCGGCGGCAGCGGGGGACGTCACCCCCGTGTCCGGCTGTGTATCCCCGTCCGGTCCAGCAACAAGCTGTTCGTCCGCAATAATGACCGCTTCGTGGTGCTAGGCTCGCACTCGGCGATGGGCAGCCACAGTCATCACGAGTGGCTGCTGCACGTCTACAGTCTGGAGACGGGCTTGTCGGTGACGGGGCAGCCACTGCAGCTGCGGGACTTTCACGGGTCCGAGATCGGGTCGACGGCCTGCTTCACGGTCCACCAGGACGAGTTCTACGCCATCACGAGCCAGACGAGCTTCGAGAGCGAGGAGGTCGACTGGACGAGCTACTACCACGTCGTCAAGTTCCGGCTAGACGATCCGGACCCGGAGCTGACCATCAAGCGCATCTGGAGACGCCAGCATCTGGAAGGTCCCATCAACGACGCGTGGAACGACCTGGGCTTCCAGATCGACCACTCGACGGGCGAGCTTTTGGTCGTCGAGGGCCGCAAGGAGTGGCTCAACGGCGGCAGCCGCTCCATTCGGACCTACTACTCGCAGCCCATCAGCCGCGCCGAATTCAAGGACTTGAAGACCGGGTTGCGGCATCCGCCCAACGACCGCCTCAGCGTCACGCTCGATGAGCACAGCAACAGTCGGTGGGAGGAGCCCATGGTGCGCATAGAGAGGTACGTGCACGAGGAATACCGAGTCGATGGTACTAGTGAGCCCACGCCCAAGGAATACATCCGCGCCAGGACTAAGTGGAACGGGTATTCGTTCAACGCGCAGGCCTTTGTCGACCTCGTGACGGACGAGGCGACCATGGAAGGCGAGTGGCGGCCGCGGCAGCGCATCAAGTTGCGTGTGGTCAGTAGACAGGAGATTAGCCCTTTGGTCGAAGACGCAATGACCATGACAAACGAATCCGTGGCTTTGGTGCTTCGCAAGCGTAGACGCGATCGCGAGGGCCAGGAGTTGGAGGACGGAGAGCGCGCCTACACGCCGAGCAGTATCTCTTTGTGGCCCCCTGACGACGCACCCCAGGGACTGCACGAGGTCCTCTGCCCTGAGGGCCGAGCAGGGGACGTCAAAGCTATGCTGGGAGACGAGGGCATCGTGTACATGGCCGGTCCCCCGCGTGAGCCGGGCTCAGCCGAGCGGGCTCTGGTCTTTGTGTGCTTCGACCCGACCTTTGGTTTCGAGGGGATGCAGCGGCTCGATGGCAGTCCCGCGTGGCCGAGATCAGAGAGGAAGAGGAAGGTGACGGAGCCCTGCCACGGGGTCAACGCGGCGCAGGAATCTGACAGTTTAGACGGGAGGCGACAGAGCCAGCGCAAGGTCAATGGCGACGGCGACGGCGATCTCACGGACCACACGAAACGGCTGAAGCTGGAAGCGTTGCTCAAGCTGGGGGAGACGAAACATTCAACTTCATCTCCATCACGGAGTGACGAGCAGGAACTGACCGTCCTCCCACAAGACCAGATCGTCGAACGGGCCCCGAGCCTCTATTCCACTCCCTTGCCTGTCTCGCCCACCAAGGAGTCCTATTCTACGGCAGTGCCCTCTGGACCCGTCGAGTTACCATCGACGGTGCAGCCCCAGACGTCCTTGCTGGCCGGGATCCTGAACTCGAACCCGACGCTCGACTCCAGAGTGCCTCCAGCGCAGTCCAAGTCGCAGTCGGAGTCACAGTCGCAGCTACAGCCTTTACCCTCTCCGTCGCCCTCGCCCTCGCCGTCTCCGTCACAACCCGCATTTTCCGCGCGCCTTTCCAAACCCCTACAAAGCCCCTGTCCCCCGCGGCAGACTGGCCAAGGTCAAGTCAAGGGCAAAGGCAAGGCCTCGGCACCACCTACCGCAGGTCGCCAGACGTGGCGGGAAAAGGCAATGTACATGTCCATTGGCAAGGGATACTGGCTGCGCTGAGGTCAGGACCGTAGACACACTTTGCATATCTGTCTGTCTGTCCGTCTGTATACGACATGGTTTCAACTACACCACCACCACCACCACCACCATAAAGGAGTCGGATGAGGCTCTTCCCTTGGGTGGAACAACCGTCGAGTTCAACCCTCGACCTTTCAAATACTTGAATAGCACACGTAAGAAGCACAAGCACACACACGTATATATACATAAGTAAGGAACCGAAAGCAAACGCGCGGACGGGGTATGAGAGCGAGAAAGAGAGACACAAAGGACGAGGGACAAGGGACGACTTTTATCGGATTGGAGGATTTCTTTCAATATACATTTTTATTTCGTCGTCTAGCCTACCTAGTACGATAGGTTGAACGCATTTATTGGCTGGTTAGTTCGATGGTTTGCTGGCTGGTTGGTTGGTTGGTTAGGTCTTGAAATATCTCTTTTCCACTTTTTTGCGCACCATCTCCCATATATTCAAGTTTCAAGTTTCTTTCGATGGTTGGTCCGTTTCTCATCTCTCTGGTTTCTGGTTTCTGGTAGTTGTCTGGCTCACGTTCACGGGTGATAATGATATCCTCCTTCTTCATGGTGATTCCTGGGTGCAGTAAGGTGACTTGCGGTGCGGTGTGATGCGATAGGATGGGATAGGACCGGAGACAGAGACAGAGAGAGAGAGAGAGAGAGAGAGAGAGAGAGAGAAGCTCAAGACGCGACGAGGCGATAGAAGAATCACAGCTGGCCGAGGGAGAAAGAAACGGCAACACCATGAATTGGAAGCAAACCTCTCACAGAGTCGTGGATAGATGGATGAATGGATGGACGGGATCCATGTGACAAGTACATGTATATTGTAACGCGAACCATACCTCTGAGGAAGGCCTGCATTTTCAAACGTCTGCACAAGTCCCCGAGTATAACAGCTTCCTGACCCCGTTTATACACGCGCCGTCCCCTGTGACAAGCCATCCGCGCCTATGCATGAGTTGCCCTTCTTCCCGGTGGTGGTGGTGCTAAAGCTGCAATGTATACACCGGACATTGACCTCTCGATTACATTAGAGAGTTCAGTCCACGGCGTTTGCCTACTGTGCCAGACTTCGCTCATGTCTCGAAATCCAATCCATCAGACACGTCCACGGGTTACCTCCAGAAAATGCTTCTGACATTCCTCCACAAGGGATTGATTGTCAAAGACCCGAGAGATAGACGAACAGCGTCAGAGTGCTGACAGCGGAGGCTTTAGAGATGCAGGTTGTCAAATGGACATTTCTCTAATTCAGGCGCACATAATTTCCTGCGTGTTCCGTGGTCAGCTCTTCAAAGTCATGCCTTCTGAAAATTGAAACAGGCTACACATACCAGGAAATTGCCCTTCTCGTCCGTTGACTCGCCCCGTCCACCACTCATTCTCGTTCTGTGTCCTCGAGGTGATCTCGATGACGTCCCCGGTCATGAAACTGAGATCTCCTTCTGCTTGCGCCTCGTAGTCATACAAGGCGGTGCAAGTCTCGGCGTTGGGTACACCGCTGAGACGGCTTGGTTTGGGTTTAGGTGGTGGAGGCTTGCCCTTTGCAGCGATGGCCGCATTCAGCGAAGGACTTCCTATTGCAGGGCTGCTGGGCAAACTTGCTGAGCCAGTCGGAGAGTAAGGCGGAGGCGGGTTGGAAACGCCGTCCTCGAGATGACTTGTCCTCCGACTTGCGTAAGAGCTTTTACCTGCTTCCGCTTCCTTGGCTTTCGAGAGCCCCAGTCCGTATCTCGACACTCCACGAGGTTTTACTCCACCTGTGCTCTTAAAGTGCACGATCGAGAGCGCCTCTGCGCGTTCCTGGACATCCCCGCGTTTCATCTCGAATGCCTCCTCAATGTCCAGATTGAGGTTGAAGTACCCAATATTGATGGCTTGCATCTTCTCATGGAGAGTGTAGAAAACGTTGAGCTGCATGTAGTAGAAGGACTGGAAAAGAGGCCGGATGAATTCGGCTTCCAGCGCAAACAGCTTGGGCAGTTCGTCTTTGAGCAAGTTGTTGAAATATTCGTAGTCCTGTGTAGCTTGTTCGACGTCGTTTTCTGCCTTGAAAAGAGCCTTTTCGTCCTTGAGGGTCTTGTCTTTCTTGTCCTGCAGCTTTTTGAGGGTGGCTCGGTGTCGGTCAAAGTCGAGCTGTTTGTGATCGCGCTTGGTATTGATTTTGCGGATAACCTTGATGACTTCGAGTAACTGGTCAGCTGGCGCTATTACTCGCTGCTCGATCATTTCCAACTCTGGCTGCAGTGTGGCCTGTAGTTCGCGCACAATCGACTCGTACTCTTCGCAGGCTCGAATTCCTTCCGGGTTGCCTTCTGGGATGAGCGAGTTGGGGTCGGAGACACGGCCAGATATAGGCTTATAAATCTCCTGGATGGCTTTCGAGAATTCGATCTGGTGGTTCAGCATGCCTGGAGAAGACAGATGTGAGAACAGACGTCAACGGGCAGAGGGTCGTCGAGGATATACCATTGATGGCCTCAAAATACTTTTTCGACTCGTCGTGCAGCTTCTTGGTCTCCTTCTCCAGCTCCTGAAAGCGTCTCTCGGCATCAATGTAGACTGCATCTTTTGTATTATCGCCGATATTGAAGCGCTGCTTAAACTGTTGTGGGGCTCGAGTTATACTCTTTCCCACGCCTTTGAGACTCATTCTGCGCGGTAGTTCTCGCACAGGCGATCAGGTCTGTTACGCTTTCTTCGGTGGGTGTGGAGGTCTCGGAATGGGTTATCCAACAATGCCGAAAGGTAAGGAGGGCGTGTTTCTGAAGGCGTCGCAGAAGAATGAGGTGGAGTGTATCCGGGTGCCTAAAGGTGGTATTAATGTACTTTGTAGGGGAATTATGCGAAGACGGAAGATGGAGGGGCGGTTTGGATGTGGGCAGCAACCGATGGCTGGAGACGGCACAATTCGCTTGGACCAACAGCCTGGAGCGACAAGACGCAATGACGCAGCCAAGTCAAGAGACTGTGGCTGTGCGCACAAGCAGCTCACTGTCTTCCCTCCAGATGTTTGTCGGTGGAGATCTTGTAGCAGAGATAGCAGCGACAGCGGCAGGAGGTGTGCGAAGGAGAATGAGTAGGATTGTGCCTTGTCAACTCACTGGACAATGTCTAGCTGCATTGAGATGGAGTTCAAGGTCGGTGCTGGTAGTGTCTTGCAAGCTGACTGGCGTGCTTACACCCTGTCGTGCCTGTACAAGGATCTCGCCGACATGACCGACCAGGTCCGTCATTTAGCCGGAGCCAACGTGCCACTCGAAGGTTGAAAAGTAAGCAAGACAAGGAGGGAAGGTCTTGCGAAAAATCTAATCTGATAAATCCCCCATCAGCCACACCATCCCGTCAACTAAACTTGAGCAGATTCATCATCGATCTGGACCACCAGATTTTCTTGCTTCTCAACGACCCTATAGTCAGCTGGACTGATTCATTTCCCACAACATGACTGGACCAGCATCTACAGTGATACGGCAGGCTTCTCGTGCCTGCGCTCGCCGATTTTCCAACAATGCAAGCCTTTCTTCACGATCCGGAACTGCTTCCATTGCCTCTTCACACTTCATCTGTCGTCGCAGCTATGTCTCCGAGTCCAAACCAGCCAACGCACAGGTCGCTGATGTCGAGTCTGCTATCAAGGCAGACCAGAAGAAATTTATTCAAGAGAGTGGCAATCTCCCCTCCCAGGTCAAGATGCCCGGGACTGATATCACCGCCGATGCCATGCTGAGTCCCCAAGCTGGCATTCTCAAGCACGCAACCATTATGGATCAGGGTACTCGCCCGATCTACCTGGATGCGCAGGCGACAACTCCAGTTGATCCCAGAGTTCTCGATGCCATGCTCCCTTTCCTCACTGGCCTCTTTGGCAACCCTCATTCTAGAACGCACGCCTATGGTTGGGAAAGCGAGAAGGCCACCGAACAAGCAAGAGAACACATTGCGAAACTGATTGGCGCAGACCCCAAGGAAATTATTTTTACAAGCGGTGCCACCGAGAGTAACAACATGAGCATCAAGGGTGTCGCCAGGTTCTTTGGCAGGTCGGGCAAGAAGAAGCATATCATCACGAGTCAGACGGAACATAAATGCGTCTTGGACAGCTGTCGACATTTACAAGATGAAGGCTTCGAGGTTACATATTTGCCAGTCGACTCAAGCGGCTTGATCAATCTACAACAGCTCGAGGAAGCAATTAAGCCAGAAACTGCATTGGTCAGTATCATGACGGTCAACAACGAGATCGGTGTTATACAGCCCATGAAAGAGATCGGACAGCTGTGTCGATCAAAGAAGGTATATTTTCACAGCGACGGTGCGCAGGCGGTCGGCAAGATTCCTATTAGTGTTAATGACTGGAATGTCGACCTGATGTCGATTTCGAGCCACAAAATCTACGGGCCCAAGGGTATTGGGGCATGCTATGTTAGACGACGGCCTCGTGTTAGGTTGGACCCCATCATCAGTGGTGGCGGTCAAGAGCGAGGTCTCCGCAGTGGTACCCTCGCTCCCCATCTGGTGGTCGGCTTTGGAGAGGCTTGTCGTATTGCCAAAGAGGAGATGGAGGTAAGAAGATATTTCCCTTTTCTGCCGACAATTGTTTGATGATTATACGCTTTCTTTAACATGCATGGCTTTCTGAGCGTCTGGCTGCAAGCACATGCCAGAGCCTTGATTAACATAGCAGGGGTTATGATATTCAACTGCCCAACCATTTACTATTCGGAGTTATTGTTCTGAGGGACAACTGCTGACTTTGGATTGTTCGCACAGTACGATTCCAAACGCATCAACTCTCTTTCCAAGCGACTTGTGGATGGACTGCTTGCGATGGAACACACGTCTTTGAATGGAGACCCTACTCGACGCTATCCTGGGTGTGTCAACGTGTCCTTTGCCTACGTTGAAGGAGAGTCACTCTTGATGGCCCTCAAGGATATTGCACTCTCCTCTGGGAGTGCTTGCACCTCTGCGTCTTTGGAGCCCAGCTATGTTCTTCGAGCTTTGGGAAACAGTGACGAAAGCGCGCACAGCAGTATCCGGTTTGGCATTGGACGTTTCACCACGACCAGCGAAATCGACTACGTTCTGAAAGCTGTTCGTGAACGTGTCACCTTCCTAAGAGAACTCAGCCCTCTGTGGGAATTGGTCCAGGAAGGTATCGACTTGAATACCATCGAATGGAGTCAGCACTGATTGTCCGCTCTTGATGGTTGATGACATTCTGTACAATACCGGGTCACATAGGACGACTGCATGAGCAGAATGCCCTTCCTCTCTCTTTCAAGGCGAGCTGTCTCTGACTCTTCAGAGCAGAGTTCTAAGCACAGGAAATAGCTGGACGCCCAACGACTACTTTTGTTGAAATTATAAGTGGCTAATTCTGGCGGGATCTTTATATCCATAGCCTCGAATCATATTCTTGATACCCCGTCCTTGCTTGGTTGCCTCCCATGCGTCTGTGGTTTGCTCGAAATCGAAAATGGTGGAGATGAGGCTTTTGAGAGGCAGCTTGCCAGCTTCAAGTACGTCCATGGCGACTTTGAAATCCCCTTGGTTGTATCGGAAGGCCCCGTGCATATGCAATTCCTTTTCGCTCATGGCTAGAATGGGGAAGTTGACGACGGCCTTCCCCAGGCCTGTCTGCACACAAGATCCTCCCGGACGCAGAACATGCACGGCTGTAACGATGGAGCTCTCGGCCCCTGTGGCCTCGATCACAGCATCTGCACCGAGTCCCAACCCGTTTTTCTCAATCAGCCGCGCGGCGTTCTTTTCGGGCGAAGCAGATAAATCGGGCTTGAAGGTATTGGACGCGTTGAGGTTCCTTGCAAATTCCAACTTGTGGTCCAACAGGTCGACTGCCACAATCTTCTTTGCTCCAAACAGTCGGGCTACGGCACCACAAACAAGGCCAATCGTGCCCGCGCCGAAGATGACCAAGCTCTGACCTGGTTTGACCCCAATCATTCGCACAGCATGGGCTGCCACAGCAAGAGGCTCCGCAAGGACGCCCTCCTGCAGACTCACCCCTGGCGGAAGCTTGTAACAGAAGTCGGCGGGGATCTTGAAATACTTGGTCAAGCATCCCGGCGTGTCTGGTGGGCAGGCGGCGAATTTCATGTGCGGGCAAAGATTGTACAGCCCTTCCTTGCATCTTTCACAGGAACGACAAGGCTGACCTGGCTCGATGGCGACATTATCACCTGGTCTCAGATGGGTGACTGCAGCGCCGACCGCATGAACCGCTACAGACTAGTGTTAGCTGTTGTCACTGAAGCGCTGGACTGTTTCTGGCAATGGATATTCTCCCTGAGGAAATGCAACTGACTTCCTGATGCCTCGTGCCCCATGACCAGAGGATTTGACTCGGAGACAAATTTCCCGTTGACACCGCCATGATTCCAGAAATGCACCTGAAAGCCATCAGATTCGTTCTTTTGTATGGTACTCGAGGACGTGATATACATCACTGCCACACACACCAACAAACTTGATACGGATTATCGCGTCGGTGGGATCGGTGATTCTTGGTTCTGGTCTGTCCTGGATCTGTGCTTTTCCAGGCCCGTATAGAAACACTGCAGGATTCTTATAGGTCAGCAAATGCAAGTCCTGCTCCTTGTGAAATCGGTGGCGCTACATACAGAGAGAGCCATCACAGGAAGACGAGGTTCTCCAAAAAACTGGTGTGTGCTTGTTGAGAAGCGGTGGGATGCATGAGTGGCAGCATGTGCAGAGGCCAGAGAGGGTGTCGCCTGATCTTATAAGTATGAATCAATCATGGTCATCTACTGGGCCACGTAGAAGAATGCATATGCAAGACTGCAGATTGGATACCAAATGACACTGGATGATGCTTCGGGCCAAGTGTCGCCGTTGCCTGCGGAGAAATCTGGCGCCCACAAACCATCCATCGGCCCGTGTCTCGGCGATGACTCTGTGACCAAGTCGAAAATACCTCTTTCAATATGGTGATGACGGCTTTCTCTCTTTGTCTTCTCTTCTGTTCTCATACTATCGTGAGTCTCCCCTCCGAAAACGCAGCCAGCGGCAAATATGAGCACCGCGTCTCCTGAAAACTCTGCCTCCGAACAGAGAAGTTCCACAGTGTGAACAACCTGCCCCTCCCTCCCACTGTCTACAGCGACTAATCGATTCTACACAGGTGCCACCTCTGTCGACAGCGAAAGACCAAATGTGATAGGCGACTTCCAAATTGTTCCTTCTGTGTCAAGGCCAACGTCCGCTGCCAGTATGTGACCAAGACGAAGAAACGAGGTCTTCGTGCGGGCTATGTCACGCAACTCGAAAATCGCCTGGGTAGTTATATCCGCCCGTCAAAGAGAAATCATTGTCTGACGCTGTGCTAGACACTCTGGAGCAAGAGGTCGAGAAGTTCAAGCACGAACGAACAACGTCCTCGACAACGGCGACGCCACATCCCAGCTTCAGCCCTGCCCTCGCAGCAGCAACGACATCTTCCACCCAACCTGTTGACATATCACCGCCGCAACACTCTATCCCCAATACTCCGTCCGTTGCTCATGTTGAGCCACCCAGATCTAGCAGTACACAGGCAGAATCCGACGCTGCCGCCGCAGACTTGGCGACCCTGACACATGCATATCTCCGTACATTGGCTGACTCGTGGTTCAAGGAAACCCAGCCTTGGTACCCTATCTTGAGCAGGCAACAGATTCAGAATTCTCTCGATGACCTCCCTCTGCCTCTGACACACATAGACGACGTGGTGCTCAAGGCCGTGATTGCGCTTCAGATAGCGTACTCGAGTCATGCCATCTGTCTGGGATACAATGGGAGATACAGACTTTCACAGTATCTCAGGTCGCAGGTTGTGAACGAGGCCTTCTCCAAAGCATCATTGAAATCCCTCCAAGCACTCTTGATCATTGCAATCCTGGACTATGGGTCGGACAACCTTCCCAGCACATTCAGCCTACTTGCTGTGTGCCGTCGAATGTGCGAAAACATTGGCCTTTTCCGAAAATTGTTGAATCAAATGCAGTTGCAGAGCCCTGCTCAAGTCGGCCCTCCGGCGATCGGCAGCAATACCGGGGACGAACTGGCGATCCCCTTGACCTGGTCTTCGCTTGCCATGGATGCCGTCACGACCTTGGGTATCTCGTGGAGGGACGTGTCGGCTGCAGTGATGGACCATTTGTCGAGTGTGGCGTATGTGAGCACGCCGGACCTCAGGGACAGCTTCCGGAGCCACACGCATCTTGCTGCAATTGGCCTGCAGCCTCTCCACAACTTCCTCTATGACCATGAGCAAGGGAGATATGACCAGGCTCAGGGCCAGGCATTTGCCACGTGTGATGAGATCTACCACAACCTTATGAACTATGTGCGTGCGCAGCCCACAACCAGCTATACGCTGTTGGCCGATGGATTGATTGACTTTGATCCCAACCTCATTCTGACCAGCATGTTGTCGCACGCGAGTGTCATTATCCTTTACGCGCGTCTCATTGAAGCGGACGAAACCTCGTGCAACGAGATCCCGCTGCAAAGATGCCTACAGGCGTGCGAGGACATCGTGCTGGCACTCCGCAGCATAAGCGACGCAGACGCCGAACTCAGCACGCCCGTCCTGGGGACTATGCTCTTCGTCGCCGCGCGCTTCAAGCTGGTCATCTATCGCAAGATGCACCAGCAGCGCGAACCCATCTTCGACACGCTCATGCACGGCATCAGCATGTGTGGGCGGCGGTGGTCCGTGGCTCGGCGGCAGGACCTTGTCCTCCGCGCCGCCATCGTCGAGGTGGACACGGGCAATGACTCACTCCTGCCCGCGTCCTTCTGGAATGTCAAGAAGAGTCACTTGGATATCTCCGAGGAGCTGAAGGAGTGGGTCGGGGATCACCAACAGTCGCTATACATCGGCTCGCTGAACGGGCCGTATGTATGACACGCCATTTCGGTGCCAGACTACGATCATCTCAATTAAGACCGGAAAAATTGAGGGAAGCGCCAACATTCTGAACGTCTTCAAACCCATCGAACCCTCTTTCTCGACATCGGGTGTTTGTGTGTTCTCGAGCACAATCCGTGGCAGAAGAAGGTAGTGTCTCCGCCTGGACTTGTCTATAGGAATCGGCGGACGGCCTCGACGAAATGCAGCAGCTTTCATATATCCAACGACAGCCCTTATTTCAAGATACCTCGCAGACAGTCTGATAAATCCAGCATCGTAATCAAACAAGACATAGTTCATCCATACATCAGCCTCTTCTGCAGCCTACCATAACAGCGATTACTTTTCATCCAACATCATATCATATACATTTCCTATTTTCATACAAATTTTCCGATTCATCCGCTATGTCATCGAGATCGTTCAGCCACCTTCAGTCGCGAAATTCACGACGACCGGCCGCCTCAACTGACCACTGGCGAGATTTTCGACGTCCTTGTCGGAGATGAAATCTGGCTCCCTGGAGGCGGCGAGTAAGGTGATGCTACTGAATCCGTCTGCGACGGGACTGTTGTGGAGTACAAGACCCTTGATGGCCAGACAAACCAAGGAAAGGAGCGGGTTCACCGCCAGCAGGAGGATCAGGAGAGGATGCCGTCTTAGGGTCGGCACGGTCTTGACAGTGACGATATTCACCTCGTCCTTGTCGTACCCTGTCAAAGCCCGGATGCCTGCGTTCTGAATCCCAAGAGGCCGGACGATGGTGTTGAGGCTGGATGTGCGTGCCCACGCCATGGCCGCTGCCAGAGCTGGGACTGTGTTGACAGGTTGGAAATACACCGGTTCAATGTCCGTAGAGATCGGGTATGGATAGTCAAAGTCCCCCGCCCGGTTGTGCCAGTCATACTCGCCGAGGAAATTGCTGAATGCTTCTTGGAGGCCGATGGCGTTATTCTGAATGACGGTCTGATTCACCACTTCGTCTGTCTTGACAAACCTGGCCGTGGTCAGGGTAATGTTGGAGGGAGAAATCACCCACGTCACATTGGCGATGCGCCGCGACTGCTCCGTGCGGATGGCCTCAGACTCAAATGTTTCGTTTCTCGTGGTGTTCCAGGCCGAGAAGTACATGGTGGTGAAATTGGTTAGGAAGTTGTCACTCATGCCAGCCCACAGCGCGTTGTTCGCACCACGCACATTGCCGCCATTGACGGTAAAATCGTGCCCGAACTGAGTGGCGACATCGAGCCAGAACTCATCGCTCTTCCTGTCCTCGTCGGAAATGTCGTTGACCTCTGACACGGTTGCGTTGACCGTGGTGGACATTGTTATCGTCTCGCCGTCCTTGAGCCTGCTTTGGATTGCCGTCAGGTAGGAAGGATATGGCGAGTCGACAATTGCGGCAGTCTTGTTGTCGCCCGCGACGAAGACGTTGAAGCCGTATGTCCGATTCAGACCCGGATCGGTCCAGAAGGGCACATAGACCTGGGAGAGGAGCGAGAGACCATCCCCGATCCGCTGCATGCCAGGTGGCGCCGCGAACCCGAAGTACCCAGGACCCTCGTGCACAAGGATGGTGCTGCTCCCCCCGATGAATTGTTTGTACCCAACACTGAGCAGCAGCGGCAGCCCAAACACAATCAGCAAGAACAGGCGATGTACCCAGTAGACGTTGTCTGCGAAGGGATCTTTGCGCATCAGGGCGTCCAGGTCCTGCAGAGTGGGTGCCTGACGCATCCCGCACGCCATCAGGGCGGTGCGCAGGACCTGGCCTTCGAGACACATGCCCATGACGGCGACGAGGAAGCCGATCAGCACGAGCTGGTTTATCTGGCCCAGGAAGATAGCGAAGGGAGTATAGAAGACGGTCAGGAGGGAGAGGCCCAGGCACAGGAGCAGGCTCAGGCTGAGATAGACATCCTTGGGCGGGAGGCGTGGGTTGCTGTGCCGTGACATGGCCTTGACTTGCTCTGCATGCTTGACCGAAAGCAAAGGCGATTTGACCAACGGCAATTGAGGCAGTGTTTTGTTATTGTTGGTGTTGCTGGTGTTTGGCAACATTCAAGCGACCAAGATCTGGGGTACTCGGATGTGGATGTGGGATGTGGGTAGGAGGAGGATAGTTGTTGCCAAAGGGATATGAGATGTGCTACACACGAGTAGTACTGCTATTGCTGGAGGGATGTTATGTATGTACGTATCAAGGGTGGATGGAGTTGGGCCGCCGTGTCTGCCTTCCGGCCTGCCTTTCAGCCTGCCTACCTACCTACCCACCCACCCATGCACAGCCATGTGTCTTGGACTTGGAAGGGGAGGAGGGGAAGGGGGGCCAGCCTCTTCTTGACGTCCTGTCGTCCTGTACGAGGTACCGAACACGTACCTAAGTACCTCATACCCTTGTCATACTCTTCCTAACGGGTAGGTAAAGCACCCCGTACTCCGTACTCCGTACGTACGAGTCCCTGAGGTATCCTGGCATGGCGCTGGTTGCGTAGGTACCTACCTCCAGGCTCCCTCGTATTGTTCGACCTTACCACGGCTCTCAGTACCTACAAGTAATGAATCATTTAGCCGCCGCCTTCACAACCCTGGCTCTAGCCCTGGTCCCGGCCCTGACGCCGGGGAAGTTCTGACACACGTTCCGTCCGAGGACGTACATCCCTGCATTTTGGCCCCAACAGGGACGATACTTGTAGGTATTAGGTGGTAGGTGGTAGATAAAACGACCCATTATTATTGCGCAAGTCTTGTCTCAGCAGGACGCCACCCTCGGCGAGGAATTTCCTCGAGGCTGCTGAGGAGGAAGGGGTCCCGGTTTGATACGCAACGCATGCACCAGGAACCACACACCATGGACCAAACACCATGAACCATGCAACATACCTAGTACCGACTACCTTGAGAACGGCCGAAGCGGTTGACAGGGTTCAAGGGTGATCTGCGCAGGCTCCTCTACCACGGTTAGCTTTTCCATTTTTCATCACCGTCACCATTAATTACCATGATCGAAACTCATCTCGTTGATCGGTAAAATAGTGGATTGGTAAATGAACGACGCCAGACGTGAACCGAGTAATTAGTGGGAGTGAGGAGTGGGTGCAAGGCGTGCTTTTTGGATTCGAAACCCGTGGCGCCGGCGGCGTCAATCCGGCCAGGCGGCTACGTTACGTTACGTTACATTACTCGTCCACAAATGATAAATCATCCTGGCATGGTTCCCCAACAGGCTGAAACCCGAACGGCGCTTAAAACATCCACCCACCTCACCAAGCAACGACAATTAACGATGGGTCGGAGAAAGGGAACCTCCATCCGTCCCCCTCAAAACAAAAAACAAGACACTCCCATGCCACATGCTTAGGTATGTTTATGCGAGTACCTAGGTACGAGAGCGAGAGATCCACCGGGCGCACGTAAAGATGACAGGCTAGATTGACGTACAGTACGAGTAGGTAGACCAGATCGGGTTGGATCAGAGGGAGGGACTGGACGGGACTAGATTCGTTAGAACTCGTACCTACATAGGCTCTGTAGACGCCCCGCTTCCATGAGTCGCGAGAATAGTTTCTCGTGGGCCAAAAAAGAACGTCTGAAACAATCTTAATGTATCGATACTCGGAGATATCCATGTGTCGCCAGGCGCAACGAACAAACTCCCGTGATACGACAGAGATCGAGTCCACGGATTGCCGATTACTGCCCTATTCACTGTCATTGTCCTGTGAACACCATCCTATAGCTCCCTGACTCCGCTCGCATAACGCACAGTCTTCTCAATTTCCAATTTTCGCCCAAAAAGTTCACTCCTCATCACTCTCGTGGATCCCCCGCGTGACCAGCGACCGATCGAGCCGTAGCAGCGCCAGACTCATCAGGACGTTCCCGGCACTGCCTCCGCCCGTGCGCAGCGCCCAGCGCCACCGCCTGATGAGCGCGTTGATGTCGTCGACCTCGCCCGGGTCCTCGCTCGTGATTAGCAGACGGATCATCATGGAGGAGATCATGGCGAACCCGGCGCGCGACCACGAGTGCCAGAAGGCGTCCCAGACGTTGCGGCGCAGGGTCTCGACAAACTCGACGGCTTCGATGCAGCATGTCTTTGCGCCGATGCGGACGGCGTCACGGCCGGCTTCGGACGAGGAGGACGGGACAGAGGTGGATGGAAGGTTGGATTCGAGGGGCCGTAGCAGCGCGCGGAAGAGCATGATGTTCGTGACGAGGTAGCTGAGGCCCAGAGAGGCGTTGCCATCGAGACCAGACGAGCGGGAACGCATAGAAGTGGCGTTGTGGTGATTATGATGGCCGTGCAGGTGCGTAGTGTCGAGATAGGCGTCGTATGAGGTCTTCCACTCCTTCAAGCGGCGGCGGATCGGCTTCGCCAGCTCGATCGAGAGTTTAAAGTCGCGTTCGGTGCGTTTGGACGCGGCAATGGTGAAGAAAGCCGTCTGGATATCGCTGAGGATTGCGGTGAGGCGGGTAAGGTGGTAAAAGTGGGACAAGGGAGGTTCGGCGGTAGCCGCGGAGCTGGCAGCTTCGATGTTGCCGTTGTTTTGCTGCTGTTGAGATGATTCTGTCTCGCCAGAAGAGATAAAGTCGGCCGCGGTCAGGGGGGAAACGTCGTAGCTATCGTCGTGGATGTGACTCGACAATCCTGCCGACATAAATGCCCATTTGTCCATGACAAAAGTCGCCCACCAAAGGCGTCGACGCAGCCGCTTTTCCCAGTCTGGAAGCCCCGTCCAGTCGAGGCAGTCGGTGGACAAGCCAAACGTCTGCGCCAGAGCCACGGTCCAGCCGAGCAAACTCCACCGAAACACCGTGTCCATCACGTATCGGTCGTCGTTGACACGTTGGAGAAGGAGCAGACATGATTGTAGCGTGGAAAGGTGAGGCGTGTGGACTTCGTGCGTCACAGCAACCCAGGCAATGCGGTATAGTCGCTGGCTCGATGGTGGCGAATGGACAATCGTGGTGGCAAGCACGTCGTCGTACGTGAAGAAGGCCAGAGCAGAAGCGTAGATAGCCGCTTTGAGCGAGAGGGGAAGCTGTTTGAGCCGAGAAGGGAGTTCCACCAGCGGGTACAGAAGACGGCTCTTTGACAAGATGGGGAAATGCGGGTAGATGTATCGAAAGAAGAGTTTGACCAGTCGGACGCCGGTCTCATCCGAGACCATCTGGGCAACTTCATCAGCTGCTTGGTCAAGGACTGTCTGATCCAGTCGCGGTTCTCCTCGATCGTACAGAGAATGGTCGGCAATTGACATGATCAAGGGCTTTCCTTGACTATGCATGACGTCTGGGTCTGATGCACGTAGCATATGTCGGGGTGTCACCTTGGCAATGTCATCCACCGACGAGTCAAGGTACTCTGTCGAAAAGTGCCGGAGCAGATAGGGATCCGACTCGCCTGTATCTCCCAAGAGGAAGGTAGTTTTGGTCGGCCATGCGTCCAAGGACTCGGTCAGCGTATCATATTCTCGTCCCACGACGCTGTGTCGCGTTGTCGGCCGACCTGACTCGATCGAGACTTGTGAAGTTACAGAGCCTGCCCCCTGTGTGGGCGACATCTGCTGCGAGCTGCCATTAGACTGAGGGGAGAAGACGGCGAGATCCACGTCATTGCTGGCAGAGGCGGCGGCCTGGGCTCCCTGCGTCCAGTTCGATGATCTGGGCATATCAGTGTGCACAGGTCTGGCGGCACCTTTGTCGTGAGCGGCAACTGGACCTGCGGTGGCTTTCCCTGCCTCGCTCGTCGACTTTTGCCTCTTCCGCGGCGGTCTCTCGCTGATAATACATTCCCGGGCATACAGACGGCAGGCGTAACATGGCGGACCTTGGTCGAGCCGACAAGCACTCTTTCGAGACCGACAAAAGTCACACGACCGTCGAGTGCGAGGTCGACGTAGCCTTGTGGGGACTGTGAGTGGAGCCGGAAGCTCTTGAAACTGGGGAGATGCTGGATGTAAAGCGGTAGAGAACATGGTGGAAAGTCATGTCCAATGACTGTTCCGTCCGCAGCATGACTATAGACACGAAACAAAGCGATCGCCCATCGGAGGAGTCGCGGAGAGACCGTGTAGAGGTATGAGGAAAATGGACAATACGAGGCAAAGCAATGGCAATGTCGAAGGAAGAGTAAAGATTCGTTTGCCGCGGGAGTTTCTTATCGCGAGGAACTGGATAGAGGTTGCTCCAGCCAATCATAGTGCAGGAGCATTGCTAAAGGGAAATATCACATGACCTCTGCTCCAATTGAGGACTAGCTTCAAAATACAGTCACATGATATGAATTTCCCTTTACGGCTAGCTCAATATCTACGGTGGACATCTAACATCGACTTCGTCTTGTTCTCTTCCCTCTCAAACCAACCCTCTACACACCTCACACGTCGCTCTTGCGCTTTGGCTGTCCATCACAGGCTCTAGAGGGGCCTCGCCGGAACAATTATACCCTCGCAGATCCCGAAACCGACCCTCTTCCCTGACAGCGATTGATCCCCCTTTTCACCCGCCCAACCCGTAAACGTGACCTTGTCCCCGTCTTGAACATAAAGTCTCTTGTTCCCCGAAGGAGTCTGTACCTGCTTTGCGCCGTTATCTGTTCGCTCAACCAGAGAACAAATTGATTCTGCGCTCTAATTCATGAGTCAGGCTGGTGAACAAACTGAAGTGAGGGTTTTCACCTCCTTACCTCTCCAGTAAGTGTACCGGTTCCGATCAGGTCTCCTGTCCTCATTTCACAACCTCCGAACGCATGGTGAGTCAACATCTGCGTAAAGGACCAGTACGCATTGGTCAAGTTGCTGGTGGAGGTGTCGAACACTTCTCCCTCAGGTGAGAGCGTCCATTGCATGCGAATGGAGATGTCAAAGGTACCAAGACTCTTTTTGTCAATCAGATACGGTAACAGGTCTGACGGCTCTTGGGGCTGGATCTTCGTGCGATAGGGCTCCAGTGCGTCGATCGACACGACCCAAGGACTGATGGTCGAGGCGAAGGACTTGGCATTGAAGGCGGCAAAAGGATGATCTTCAGGAGCCTGGACATCACGGGCTGGATATTGACATTATCAGCCTCACGCACAAACAGATCACAGAAGACAGACATACTTGACCAGTCGTTCAGAAGCACCACACCGAATATGCGGTTCTCAGCCTCCTCGATCGAAACCCGGTCGAAGCGTTTGATTCCTTCGCCCAGGAAGAAAGCAAACTCCATCTCGACGTCCATCTGTTGTGACGGTCCCACATATGCCTTACCATTTGAGTCGATCAAATGTCCCATTGGACGCACGATCGGCGTCCCTGAAACCACAAGACTGGATGCGCGAGCAGTGAACGCACGAGGAGGATTGAACCTGCATCCAATATGAGGCAGTGTTGTCAAGCCAGGGTCTATCCACTAACATGTTTACTGGCGTGCTGCTTGTTGAATGTGTGTTTTTTGCGTGCTTGGACTGTTAGCTTCGCTTCCAATTGGCCATTTGATTGCCTTGAAATCAGAAGATCGTCAACTACTCACCGTCCGAGAATTCAGGAAATCGGTGAAATCTCCAATCCTCATGGGCAGGTGCATCTCGACCTTGACCTCGGCCGTGTCGACGACGCACTTCTTCCTCAGGTCTTTGTTGTCTCTCATGATCGGCGTCATCTCAACGAGCAGATATTTCACAAACATGCGCACCGCGTTGACCGTTTCGCGACCAAGAGCTGCAAAGGAGTTCAACACGGTCTGGCCAAGTTAGAAAGAGATCACTCTGTCTTTGCATTTCGCACTCCGTGCGAGACGGAGACTGGTGGACAGGAACATGATGGATACCTCCTTCAACACCGCGTACGGGAATTGACAGGTGCAGTACATTGAGAATGCCTCTGTGTCGACCAATGCTGCCAGGTCGACAATGAATCTCCCGATTGCGATGCCAGGTCGCGGCGTCACCTAAGCACCGTGTTACCTCGCCATGCCTCTCACGAAAGACTGCATCATCAAGACACTGTTATTGTGCGGGACCTACATTATCGGCTGTTGAGAAGATGCCGAAGGGGAGATTTTCAATGGAAAAGTCATGATCGTCCGGCACGTCTAGCCACGACTTGAGAACCATGTTGAAGGCTGGCAAGCAATGCTGGGTTTGAATGATGATGTTCGAGATTCGTGATGCCTGTGAAAGTCTCTACGTCCTGGGATGGAACGAGTCCGGAATAACTGAGATGGTTTCACTACGCAACCCCAATACCGTCCGAAATGCTTTTGGATAAGGCTGTCCTAAACCTTTCCCAACAGAGTCAGTCCGTCTGAAGGACATCTTTCTGTGGGTCTTTCAAACCCCGTCTCGATCCCCGCGCCTGATAGCAACATTCACTCACTCCTGATCGGAAAGAGCCTCCGGGGATGGGCGAAACGGTCAAATCCGATCTCGGAAAATCGGCAGGACACCAACAGCTTTACCAGTCCCATTGGGGATCTTTGTGGATTATTAGTTGGATTCTGATACGGAAAATCCGACCCTGGGTTTCTTCCTACAATGTCTATTCTGCCGGTCTAGCGCTAATTCATAGGATATACCGGCCGCCACTCACTGAGAAACTGATTCCGCGGGCCGCTCAGGGTACTCTTGGTCCTGTGCTGATACTTGCCGTAGCCCAACTTGCCGACAACCTCACCTTCCTTGAAAACGACCGTGCCTCTGACCAGCGTGTACCTCGGCCAATTCTTGAACTCGATGCCCTCAAACGGCGTGTAGTCGATGGCGTGGTGCAACATGTCGTTGGTCAATTTGAACGGCTTGAACTTGTCCTGCGGATACCAGATGGTCAAGTCTGCGTCGAAGCCCGGGCCGATGGTGCCTTTGTTGGACAGACCGTATAGCTTGGCCGGATTCGTCGCCGTAACCTCGACAAACTTCTGCGGCGTGATGCGTCCCGTGAGCACGCCGCCGGACCACAGCAGTGGCACTCGCGTCTCGACCCCCGGCAGTCCATTGGGGATGTATTGGAACTTGCCCTGTTCGCCGCCTCCGTGGGCCAGACCCCGCAGCTTGCCTTGCGGGTGGTCGAACTTGATGGGTGCGTGGTCTGATGACAGGGTGGTGAAGGTGCCGTTCTTGATCCCCGTCCAGATGGCGTCTTGGTCAGCCGCCTCTTCGCGGATGGGTGGCGAGCAGACGCACTTGGCGCCCTCGAAGCCTTCCTTCTTCATACTGTCGGCAAGGAGGAAGAGGTATTGCGGACAGGTCTCGCCGTGCACGGGCAGGAGCCGGGTTTGGGCGTCGCGAATGACGCGCGTGGCATGTCCGCCGGAGATGTGGACGAGCAGTATGGGCGTATCCATGAGCTCAGAAAGGACAATGGCTCGATTCTGCCCAAGACAAAAAGGGTCAGCTCTCCGTTCGTCTGTTTCCTGTTTTCTTGTTCTGCGGGTTCTACGTTCCAAGGTCTTGGGAAGATGACTTACCGTGGCCTCGGCCTCGACAATCGGCGGTCTCGACGTCCCATGATGATAAGGCGCTGTCATGCCCTGCTCCTCCAGATGCTCCGTCATCCAATCAATGACATCGGCATTCTCGGCGTGCACCATGGTCGTAATGCCTAGGCGGCGCGCCGCGTGCATGACATCCAGAATCTGGTAGTCTCTGAGCTGGAAGGCCTTGTAGGTCATGTATATCTTGACGCTGGTGATGCCGTATTTCTCGACCATCATGGGCAGATCGACGTCGAGAACGTGTTTGGTCGGGTTCGACAGGATCATGTGGAAGGCGTAGTCGCAGTACGACTGGCCGTCGGCGAGCTTCGCGTACTCCTCCAGCACGGGCACCAGGCTCTCGTCGTTGCGCAGCTGGCTCGCAAAGGTGATGACGGTGGTGGTGCCGCCGGCCACGGCGCTGCGCGTGCCCGTGTCGTACGTGTCGTTGGTGTAGTTTGCCAGGTCGGGGATCTTGCCGTTGGTGATCTGCGTGCGCATGAGACTGTCGACCGACGCTTCGTAGAGTTGGCTCAGGTGAACGTGTGTGTCGATGCCGCCTGGGGTGATGTAGGCACCCTCGGCGTCCAGGATGGAGACTTGGTCGCCGTTGCGGATGGGGAGGTCGCGGGCGACGGCGACGATGGTGCCATTCTGAATAGGTGATGCAGTATTAGTCTTGCTCTGTTGTATCCCAAAAGCGTCAAAGACGGGGAAGGGTGTAGGCAGTAAATGATGAATGGCGAAGAAGTGGTAGAAACAAAAGAACCAATTCTATCCATGGATTTTCCCCAAAAGTTCTTTTTTTGTTCCTTTCCTCTCCCTCCCTTCTTTCTTTCCTCCACGAGTCCCAGGGCAAGTACAGGAATACATTCTTGCCCCTCAAATGTTTTCCCAATCTCTTCGTGCTCTAACTCGCACTCACTCACCTTGATCCCAATATCGCAATTGTACCAAATATCCGACGCCGTCACGACATTGCCGTTCCGCACAATCAGATCAAACTCCATTCTTGTTCGATGCGGGAGGTATCCCCGAGAGTAATAAGGGCGACGATGTCAGGGGAGCCCGATGTCAGGGGAGCACCCACGAGGGAATGAAATGATGCACGAGTGTAATGTGTTAAAGAGATGACATGTTTTTACACAGACCAGGTCTGGCCAAGGCTCTCACAAACGATCTCCTCGCATTGTTCCCTCAGAGATGGGATCCGCAGTAATACGAGCTGCGAGTTCATCGGGCTTTGGTTCTCCATCCATCCTCCCATGTTCGAAGCCGAAAATCACAGGTCCCGAACCAAGTGTACGGGCAGTACATGGGATGGAATCGACGGGTCCAGAAAAGGTGGTGGGGGCATACAACACGGCCAATGGCGGTATTGTGATCAAGCCTATCGAGCAGAGCGGACCTTTGCCACACGATAGATCTGCCTCTATGCACAGGTATGGCGGGGTGTTGAGATCCCCAATTCATTGCCACCAGGGCATGGGCTAGGCGGAATCGATGTCGGGTCGAACAGGAGGCGGCGAAGGGAGACCGGCATAGAGAGCGGACTCAAGTCCTCAACGAAAGAGCCCGAGACCAGACGGAGCTTGAGCGCAGATCCACCCCCAGAAAGAGAGCCGAAGGAAGGGGCGCGAGACGCAGATAACGAGGAGGTCGCAACTGGGACGACCACCACCATCCGGGCATCTATCGTCCACCTTGCTGCATTTACCTTCCATCCGGTTGCGAACAAGTGTAGGACCAATCAAGCGGACCACCCTCCCACCTCACAGAGGCAACATCAGCTATCCGGGCGGAACTTCCCACCTCTACGCCCTATCACCCTCCATCACCTCTCAACAGTCAACACTCCTGGGGACAACAATGAACCTGGAAGAGAGTTTTTGGAGAAAGACAGAGAGTGGAGAACCCCGGGCGACGGTGCAGGGGAGTACGAATAATAATTACCGGCCTAGGGTAGGAAATACCTCTGGAAGAGTAATAGATAGGAGATTCGGACATGGGCGAAGTGCCGGATAGGAAGTTTTCTGTCTCCTTTTCCCCGTTCCATCTGAGAAACCGACGAGGCTGGCACTCGTGGCACTCCACGCTGGATACACCATGTTTATTGCACATTTGCGGGTTCCTCGTGTTGGTCGACTTTCTAGTGGTGTAGCTTACAGGAATGGAGTCGTTGCGGTATTGAGAACCTCACTATAGTTGACTACCTTAGGTAGGTACCACTTCGATCCACAATCAACAGAAGAACACAGGATCAAGTCATAGAAAGTGGATTGCATTTTGTAATCCTCTGGTCTCAGTCTACGAGGTACAGAAACTATTGTCAAATCTCGGATTGCTTCTCTGGGGTAATAATATCATTGCGTATTCCTGGGTTGTCACAACCCCCAGCTCCACCTCTCTCATATAGATTTCTGATGGGATAGTATATCTGGTGTGTATCGCAAATGACTGAATATGGACTTATATATATATAGATAGATAGATAAATAGGATGTCATCACTCCATCTTCGACCCCGACACCACCACGGTCTCCCGACCGACATCTTTCTCCGTCGCCGACTCAATATCTGCCGCCTCACCGTCTGCAGGTCCGGCGGTCGAGGTCAAGACCTCGCGGCCATGGATGACGGCCAGGTTGTAATTCGGGAGATCGGCCGGGTTGAACTCCTCGGCGGCCGTCTCTTCAAACTTGAGCCCCATGCCCTTGATCATCTTCTGGTTCTTGGTCGGCCAGACGTAGCATAGGGGCACGTAAACGGCTATGGAGACGACAAACGACAGACACCAGCCCAGATGGCCAATGTTCATGGCCGTCTCAGACACGTTAGCGCCCAGGGAGCCGCAGAAGCCCGGAAACGGGATCACCACGCCGACAATGTAGGCGATGTAGGCTTGCACGTTCCAGCCGCGGTGGTAGTAGTAGTGCGGGTTGGTGCGCTTGCCGTCGTACAGGTGTTGCAGGAAGATGTTGCCTTTGGTCAACAGGAAGTACTCGGCGACCATGATGCCCACGGCCGAGGCCATGAAAATGATGTAGCCGCCCAGGAAGTTGAGGAAGACTGGAAAGAGTTTGGTCAGTACGAGATAGCTGTACACGAAGGAAAAACAACGCAAGAATAGAGCACTTCTTACCTGTCGCCGATCGAAGAATTTGCCATGGATTGACCGCCCAGGCCAGACAGAGCCCCAAGAACTGCCCCCGGGTCATGTTGATGTACCGTGGCAGAAGCATCGTGCTGTCCGAACCAAATGGAATCATGTTCGCCGCGATGTTTGTGCCCAGAATCAACAGGGCCCAGAAGGTCGCACACACAAACACGGCAAACCGCACGGCCGAGGTGTCATATCGCTGCATAATGGCTTCGAGGAGATCCCACGGATTCCATAGCTCGAGACCCCACGAGTGGTTGATGGCCGACGTGGCCAGGATGCCCAGTGACGCCGAGAGGGTCACACTGATCGGGTTGGCAAGCAACTGCGGCCAGATCGAGGCGTATTTGTATCTGGCCCAACGACTAAAATCGGGTTGGTTCGTAATGATGTTGGCCTTGTACTGGGTGAGTTCACATTCCTTGTCAAGTCTTTCAGATCAGAACTTACAGTATTGCCCAGACCGCTGTTGAATGCATAGACGACGAACCAGGCGAAACTGGTAGACGTCGAAGCTGGAGCCCCGGGGATTCCGCCGCCAATGTTACCCTTAGTGTTGGCCATGCAGAAGATGAACAAGCCAAAGCAAGCCGGCACCACTGTGCACATCTTCAGGGTGAAGACCCAGCGTAATTGGTAAGGTCTGAGAAGGGTGAAGGGGATGTGGACGAGCCAGTACAAGAAGAAGGCGATAAATTGGGCTGTCGACATGCCCACGGATTCGGGAATCGAGTTGTGCAGGTTGCGGTATGAGTTGCCAAATACTGTATCCGGTGTCAGTAGACTTCTATATAGGTGTTCCCTTCGACATACCAGCCGTCAACATGTTCACCACAAACGAAGATCCAATGTACAGCTTGATGGCGTAGTAAACGATGGCCAACACGGCACGCGCAAAGACCACGTAGTACGCTCCCCATGTGCCAAAGACCGCGCGGGATATGATGGGATACCCGACATGGTAGACCTCTCCAGACCGCGAGTTGATGGCCATGGCGATCGAACTCACCACCTGGCTGAAGAAGACGATGAGGATAGACTGCCACCAGTTCAGACCGCAGCCGATCATGACCGACCCCAACGTCCAGTTGTCCATGGACAGGGAAAAGTAGAAGAAGAAGTAGTTCCACCAAGCCCACGTTCGGGCCTCGGGGGGAGTTGGGAGGAGATCTATCGCCAACACTGTCAGGATCACCGACCGCACCCGCAGTGGGAGAAGAGCATACCATCGTTGATCCAGGAATATGAGCCTGTAGGATCCGCACTCGACCCTGGGGTCCGCAAGTACTGTTTGAAGTTCTCCTTGCTCTGGATCCCACGCTTGAAGTTGGCCTTCTTTATGCGGAACGAGGCAAGAAGGTTCTTGGGGCGAAAGGCGTTGATGCCGGTGATCTGAGGTTTGTCTAAGACGGGAGAGTCCATCTTGCTAGATCTCTCCGAGGGAGCCCAATGAGATCAGAGTGAAAGGGTCAGGAGCAGAATAATGAAGAGGAGGGGACACACGGAGAGACCACAGTATGGAGTGTTGTGGGAGAGGCTGCGTCTTTTGATATACTACACACCTGGTCCCTCACAACGTGGCACAAGCAGATCGCTTCCCAACACATCGACCCCTTCTTCTCCCATGGTGGCAACAAGTTTACAACGACGCAAAGGCCCAACTGCAAGTCAATGAATCTAGACTAACGCAGTCACGTTGATCGAATGGCAGATCCTATCAACCTGGAGGCTGGCACGAGCCTATCGCGCGTATCCGGCACCATACGCTCATCACCTCTTTTCCTGTCTAACAAGATAAGCTCAAAGACTCGTCAAGGCTGTTCTTCCCACAAGACACTAATTCTCACAGCCGATCAAAACCAAGCCCGTCCATTATCTTGTTAGTATGTCTCGACAACCAATTATCCTTATCAACGGTGGATACCCGAACATAACCCCGATCGAGCGGAGAGCGAGGGTCAACCGATACGAGGTCCGATTCTAACCACCGTCCCGGATAGCCTGATGCCGTCTTCATGGTGGAATACACTGGTTTCAGGACAGTCTTAAAAAGCGTACCTAGAGTTGGACATCAACGAGGATAAACAAAGAGAGGGATCACGGCACCCCAGAACTCAGGACACAGAAGAGTCTACAATCAGATCTCTAGTTAATCTCAAGTTGAATAACCATGCCGTCTGCCATTCTCAAAGAATTCAAACCCGATGGGCCACGACGTGTGCCTCTGGCGGAAGAAGATGTCAGGAAGGGGTCCTACTCGGCTCCAGCCCTGCAGATGGCCCTTGAAGGCCTACATCAGGACGGCATGGTCGTGCTCAAGGGCGTAGTGAATCCAAAGCACTGCGACATCCTGCACAAGCATATGAGCGGTGACAGGGACCGGATTTTGAGAGAGAGACATGCCGGGGCTAAAGTTTACAACCAGGGGGTGAAATGTGAGTCCAGAGGGAGAAGCCGCAATATCAATCCTAGCGAAGAAAGAAACTTGAGAATGCTGATGAATGCGTCGAGGGTTCAGCGAATATATTACAGGCACCTCCATTCACGAAGCCAGAGCTGTTGTTTGAAGATGTCCATTTCAACCCGTTTGTGATCCAGGTGATGAACGCGCAAGTCTTTCCCTTCCCATATTCATTGTTACATCGGGATCAATGGACCTCAACTCCGATCCCGCTTCCTCTCTCTTCAAATTAAGAAATTGAGCTGACATTCGTATAGATATCTCGGGGCCAACCCTAAATGGATCATGTCCACGGGCAACAACGCCCTCGCCGGTACAGGTGGCCTTCGCCAGCCCGTCCACAAGGACACGCGCTTCCGCCACCCGAAATGTCCATTCGTCATCGTGGCCAATACAGCCCTCAACGACTTCACACTCGAAAACGGCGCGACCGAGTTCTGGCTCGGCTCACACGCCTTCACCGACGAGCGCGATCAGACCGTCGCCACGCCGGAGACAGTCTTTGGGAAACAAAGGATCGGCACGCCGTCGTGTCCGGTGCTCGAGGAGGCCATTGAGGCACGACGAGCCGTGAGGCCGCCTGTGCGGGCCACCATGGATAAGGGGGATGTGATGTTGAGAGATTTCCGAACGTGGCATGCCGGAATGCCCAACGCGACGGAACAGGATAGGATCATGATCGCGCAGATTTGGATGGTGAGTGTCACAACGTACCACTTCCCACGCAGTATAACCTTGGGTCTATCGCCTTGACGAGGTTTTTTGCTTCCCTCTGGTCCGCTGCCGTGCGTTGTTTTACCGTCTGATCTGCCAGTTCCCCTGACACACTGTTCGTCCTGTAGGCACCGTGGTACCCGAACTTCATTACCCGCCTCAACCTCCCCCTCTCCCAGTCCGAGTGGTTCCAGAGCCGGGCCAACAAACTCCCCATGGAGATCATGGCCAACTATATCGCCGACGACGCCGTCGAGTTCGACCAGCACCGCGACAACTTCTCCATGGAGCCGAGTCACTACCTCGATTACTACGACACGGCGCCGCAGAATTATAGATATGATTGAAACAGGAGAGATTGGAGCAGAGGGGAGAATGAGAAAGTGGAATTAGGACCTTTGAGGGCGAAGGAAGAGAGTGATGGGTGGACATTGGAAGAGGAAATGTTGGAAGGGGCAAGATACAGAGCATGTGGCTGGTGTAGTTTCGACAAGCGGTGGCTAATAGAGCCACCGAGTCGTATCTATAAGAGACTGGAAGAGAGCAGTCGCACCGAAAAGAGGTAATGGTACTTGTTCCCTCAAGAAGCCTGGCAGCCTGATTAGGCTTAGCGATGCCCGTCACACCCAGGAGGCCGAGCCTTGTTGGGGCTGATGAGGAGAACCTTTCAGGGTCGCCGAGACCAGGCTGTGAACCCACGAACTGATAGGCAAGAGCGCCACTCGCCTAACGCTGTACCGAGCACATACACACCTGATCAACTCGGGCATCTCAATTGATTTTTCTGCCAAATAATTCGCCTCGCGTACAAAATTTGTGTATTATTTCTTTTGTGAGTTTCTCGGCAACTGCTAGCGTCTCGTGTCAAGATATCAATCTTGTGGTGACGTACCGAAAGGGACAGCGCACGCAGGACTTGTACTGCCGCCAGCGGAATCTCCGAACAGAACACGGTTACTCCAAATCTGGGGAATCTAGGGAAGATTACTCGGTACATACTAGGTCGACCAAGACTGCTGTCTGCTGTCTTGACCTCGTCCTTACTCGCAGGCGACCAATACCATAACATCGACCTGTCTACATCGCCGCGTCTCCATGTCTCTGACCACGGCACTTCGACCCGTCGCGCTCCCCTTCGGTGCGGGCCAAAGGCGCGATATTGCTTCCACAGACATCAATGCCCAAAGCCGACCCTTCCGTCACGAAGTCAGCTACCTCAACCTCCATCGCACGCTCACGCGATACCAACAATTGATCCTCCTCACGCCTTCTCCTTCCTCCGACGCCAACAACCACGCCAGCGAACTGACGCCGCTACAAAAGCAAGTTCAAGCCGAATTGTGGTCCCCCTTGCCATACCATCGCACGAAATGGCTCCACAATATCGAGGGCGCGCGCACACTTCTTCTCCAGCTAGAGCGAAAGGCACAGGCGATTCGTGTACAGCGGACAAAATACGAGGCCATCAAAGATTTGGCGCAGAAGAGAGCGGTCATCAAGAAATTGAGGGGTCGGATCGAGGAGATTGGGAGGGAGGTTGAGATGATGGGCCCGGATGAGTGGAAGCCGCCCATTGTTGAAGACGGAGGGGAAACCCTCTACGACTTTCTGCAGGCGCATGTGCAGACGCGGTCACAGACGTCGGCGGCCGAGGGTCAACCGGCCAAGGAGGGGGCGCAGGATGATCCACTGCTCGAAGGAAAACCCGTCAAAAGTGTCGAAGAGGAACATCCAGGGGGACTTGCTCAAAGGGACAAGGACAGGAGAGAAGAACTACTTGGGTCTTCGAGTCTGCGGCGACGAGTCAAGGGACAAGACAATACGAGCAAATCTGAGGCACAAGCTAGCGGAGTCTCAAATCTTGCTGGGACAGAGCGATCACTGCTGGATTCTTCGCGGGTGCATGAAGACATTACAACCTCTCTGGTAAACATGGCAGCTCAGCTCAAACAAGAGCAGAGGAAGCTTCAGTTCTCTCTGGAACAAGACAAGGGCATTCTAGGACGGGCAATCGAGGGACTAGATGTCAGTCTCAGCGGGATGGAGGCTGCGAGCAAGAACATGGCATTTCTGAAACGCATGAGCGAGGAAGAAGGGTGGTTTGGACGACTGAAGCTGTACGGCATGATCTTTGCGATGTGGGTGGTGGCGTTTCTGCTAGTGTTTGTGTGTCCCAAGTTGAGGTTTGGATGAGCAATAGCAGCGATGAATCTGTTACACATGCCCAACCATACACGCAGGATGACGACAACTTCGACGAAGCCAGTTCAGAGATTTCTTGCCGCAGCAGCAAGTGCCTGACGATCTTCATGCCTGCAATGCCTGCGGGAAACACCGAAAACACCAATGAGAAGTGGGAGCAATTCCTTGTCACGGGGGAATCTTCGTGAACCTTGGATGAGATCGGAGTAATCAAACATCGAGATAGGGCAGGTGTGGAGGGCACCATTCCAGAGTGGTGATGGGTGGCCGCAGATGGTGAGATGGGATTGCGTGTTTGTGGTGAAGTGCAAAAGCGCATCTTCATCTTCGGCTCCACCCAACGTTCGCCGATGACGTCGATGGCGGGCCACAGAACCACCTTGGCACAAAGCACATGGCCTCTCGCGCCTCCTCCAACTGCGCTGCACTCAGTGTCGTGCCTGCTGAAGCAAGGTTCGCCATCGAGGCAAACAGACTGCAGGTCCCGAGGGGTTGCCTATAAATCGTGCTCTGATCCCGGTTCATTCTTCTTTCATCCGACCAACTAACTCTCCATCTCACACCAAACCGCTATTCAACAGTCACTCTTATTGATACATCCACCCAACACCAGAACAACTTACACAGTCTTCAATATGTCTTCCAGCGACAACACCTCTTCCCTGAAGTCCGTTGTGGACACTGCCACTGGCTACGTTCAATCTGGTATTGCCGCTGTGACTGGTAGCACTGGGGACAAGGTGAGTCTTTAGTCATTGTCTTGTCAATGCAAGCAACTTTGCTTACACGATATTTCAGGCCAAAGCCGACGAGTACAAGAACAAAGGTGCCGCGGAATCAGACCTTTCCCACACCGCCGCCAAGGCAGGCCCCTTCACCATCAGCTCAACGGGTGCTCCTGCCAAAGACAATTCCGAACGCACTCAAGGCCAATGGGATCAGACTGTTGGTAGTGCCAAGGAAACCATTGGCAATCTCGTTGGAAGCGAGGATCTGAAGCAACAAGGTCGCGAACAGAATTTGCAGGGCCAAGGGAAAGAGGCTAAGGGTCAACTGAGTGACCTCGGAAAGGGCATCAGCGATCGCACCCAAGGAGCTGTCGGTAGTGCCGTGGCGTCCTTGACTGGTGACCGCTCCGAGCAAGCCAAATACAACGAGATTCACGATGAAGGAAAGACCAGACAGCGCGGGGTCGAGTTGGATCTTGACAAGCAGGCCGCCGCTCAGCAGAAATAGATTGAACTGACAGCAGTTACCGATACGGATGCTGCAGCAGACGACTGATGGGGCGATGGGATATGCCAGGAAGGTGCACGCACGAGCGTTCCTAATGACGCCTTTGTATGATTAGTCTTAGCTTTATGATACCCCCAAATCCAGATTCAGTCTACAGTGGTCTACGTATCGTGCTCGGCATGAAGCATTTCTTCTCTGACCCCCGCATTATGTAATCTCGCTGTCGATGTCTTGGCCAATAGCAAGACGACCAGGTCCCAATACCAGAATCGCACCGCATTCGCCATCCAAACTGTCAGGAAACATTCTCGAGTGGTTTGCTACGTCAATGGCAGGCGTGCCCCAGAAGACACTCAACTGGCTTTACGATGTATTGAAACGTGTACGAGATCACCATTGCTTATCCGTTCGAGTCTACTTGGCTAAACGCAGACAGGAATACCACGACCCGAATCGAACGTACTCAGACCTTGCCCACGTCCTCGCTCGCAATCCGAGCTTTGCTCCTCGGACAGATGTTTACAGTACGTCGCTTGTGCCTAGAAAAGGAGGATGATATTGATAGACATGGCGCCCAGCATTTGAGAATGGAACGCCCGCGCTCCTCCTCCAGTTCAAGGGCACCATCCCCGTCAACTTTAGAGGAAATACGTATCGGTTTCCTATAGCGTTATGGGTTCCGCATGCCTACCCTTACGAGGCGCCCATGTGCTATGTCACTCCGACGGAAGAAATGATGATTCGGCCTGGTCAACACGTCGGCGGAGATGGGAGAATATATCATCCATACCTGGCGCATTGGAGGGAACATTGGGAGGTAGGTTCAGAATCGAGACAACCGAAAAACTGGGAGGGAGCAAGGACTCCTGGGACAGCTTTGATGTGGCTGACGGATTGCTGTGTATAGAGGTCGAATATTCTCGATTTGATGTCTATCTTGTCCGATATTTTTGCCAAAGAACCACCAGTTATGTCCAGGTCACCACTTCAGCAACAGAGACCAGCACAGCCAAACCCTCCACCAGTGCCGCCTTTACCGAGGGAGATACAACCACTGCCGGCTTCAAATGTCCCAGGATCAAGCCCTCGTCCGCTTGTGCAGCAATCAGGCGCACCCGCTCCTCCACCTCCTCCGCCCAAACAACCTGCACACGCTGGCGTCCAAACTCCCGATTCAAGAAGCCCAGGGGTTCCCGCGACTTCACGACCGGGGCGCTACGACGCTCCACCTCCTCTGCCACCTCACGCGCAGGGGCCTGACCAAAGGGCGCAACAACCACACGGAAGTGGCAACATCCAACGACCTGCCAGTGGTTCGAATTTCGTTCCTCAACGGTCCAGTAGCCTTCGACAGTCTATGTCTCCTCAACCTCCCTATCAGCAGCAGCAACATCCACAAGCTGCGTACGAATCCACGCCATCTTCATACCCGCCTCAGCCGCCTGTGCCGGGTCAACCGCAGCAATATCTGCCAGCGCAGCACCATCCTCCACCTAGTCAAGGTTCAGGCCAAATCCCCGATCGCGTCAGACCACCGCCCACAGATCAATATGGCCAGATGCAAACACCAGCACCATCACTTCCCCATGGTCAACCTCCTGGGCCACCTTTCTCGCAACAGTATCCAGTCCCACATGCACAGTCGGTACCACACCAACCATATCAACAATATCAACCAGCTCCTCAATCGGCTGTTCCGAAACAGGCAGCGACACCAAACCTTCTCGACTCGCCCTTTGATATCCCGCTGCCGGCACCCAATCCCCAGTCGGCCCACAACATTCCAGCCCCTCCTATACCGGTCAATCCAGAAAAGGAAGCTCTGTTGACGCATCTGTCTCACTTAGTCACAACGTCCCTCCACCAACAGATATCCCAGAACAACTCGGCATTGGCGCCGTTGGCTTCGCAGTATGCTGCTATGCAATCAACTATGAGCACTTTGAGCAGCGAATTGAATAACTTGAAGGCGTTGCATGCGACAGTATCTAGCAATATTTCCGTTCTTCAGGCCTCTCTGACCAAGGCCGATCAAACGATATCGTCAGCGCACACCCGCGCATCCAAGAACGACATTCCGCACGTGGATGAGATGCTCACGGCCCCGAGCATAGTCGCGCAGCAGCTATACGATGCTGCGTGCGAGGAACGGGGGATTGAAGCAGCAATCCTGGCTCTTCAAGAAGGCTTCGTGCGGGGACGCGTTGGGAGTGACATCTGGGCAAAGAAGACCAGAGAACTGGCTCGGGAAGAGTTTAAGCGACGGTGGATGGTGAATAAGGTGGGCAGGGGAATGGGACTGGACCTGGAAGCTGGTGCTTATGGACGATAACCACGGCGCATTGCCATCGACTGGGCTGGTCCATGTTGGTAAAGCGAAACTATCCAAGACACCGAGAAGTCACCAGGGTCAGGATACACTCGGATAGAGGAAGATCGGTTGCGATGGCCTATCTCTATCCTCTAGATATGACTGGCACATTTCCTATAGACTGCACATCTGCCGCCTATTATGTTCCCGCATAGAACCCGGGCCAGTAGAAAGAATGATGAAAATGAGGACATGATTGTTAAGATTTTCTTTGTGCTCTCTACAAGAGGAGTCGCTTTCTATCTACTCGGTAGTCATTCGAGGCAGGTTGTCCAGCCTCGCTCAGCCTCGCCATATATACACACAGCCTTGGCCGCAAAAGACCAGGCGACACCGCCCGAATTGCGCCACTTTTAGACACTACTCAGCCCAATGGACAGCACTTTCGCACCTGCTGCCTGATGCTGCTAAGCGACCAAAAATGTCGAGAACCATCTCAACTGCTACTGTTCTCCGTTTTTCTATCTTTTCGAAGCCAAACAAAATAGGCTGGTTTGGATCAAAGTCGTCTTGGAGACACAGCTTTGAATCTCAAACGTCGTTCTGATGGAGGACAAGGACGGATCGACCCGGACTCAAGATCCACCTCCGTACAAACCGCTGAACCCAAATGGACGAGAGATCAGGCTGATCCAATTCACCCCAATTATATCTCCCGAGACTACATCGGAGGCCGCGAACGCTGTCGCATTCTCTTGCTCTGTCGATGTGTATCCACTAGACGCGTACACTGAGGAGTACACTGCGTTCGAAGCTCAAATTGAAAGCGAATGTTCCGCTGCAAAGAAACTGCAGGATTGGAAATCATCGCGTCGTGTATGTTCAGTGGCTCTCGCGGCTCCAGCTCCAGCTCTAAATATCCAACACAGGAAGCATACGCTGCTCGATTTCGATGGGGTGATTATGTGGCCATGTCTCATACATGGGGCGAGAAAAGTTTGTTTCGTCCGGTTTCGGTCAACGGTCGAGTGATCCAAGTGTCGCAGAATCTCGTCCAAGGGCTCACAGCCCTGAGTAGGTACCCGGCCATCGCTAGCGGCGGATTGAAAGTTTGGAACGACTTCCTCTGTCTCGACCAACAGAACAAGGTTGAAGTACAGAGGGAGTTGAAGAACATGGCAACCATCTTCTCAACAGCTTATGAGGTTGTGGCTTGGATCGGTCCTGCCCTTGACAGGGATGGGCTAGCTATGGTCAAGCTTCAACAGATTGGAGCCGAGACCAAATCTGACGAGGAATTGTACGAAGATATCCGCTCCATGCGCACCGAGGTATGGGCAGCACTCGCATGTTTCTGTGAGAGAGAATACTGGCGGCGAATGTGGGTTGTTCAAGAGTTGATTTTGGGAGGCCCGGAGACTGCCCTGCTCTGTGGCAACGACTCGGCGCCTCTACATGCCATGTGGCGGTTAGCGGCCGTGATCGTCAAGAACGCTTCTACAGCTCATCGCCAACTTGCTTCGTCCCTCGATGAAGGGAACGGCTACTACAGCGATCTCCGACATAATACCCTCTCCGTCTGCTCGAGACTGATATATCTCCGGGGTATCGACAACTGTCTGAGAAAAGGTACAGATTGCAACATTCTCCGTTTGCTGGATATATGTCGAGGATCCCTCCAACAAGATGCTCGCGACAAAGTGTATGGAATTCTTGGGCTGTTACCACCACAAGTGACATCGCTCATTGCACCCGATCTTGACAAGACAGCACACGAAGTGTACACGGACCTTGCGAGAGCCACTATCCGAGGGATGAAGCGGCTGGATCTTCTGCAAAATTCCAGGCTGGATGCCACACACATCAAGTATCCCACTTGGACTCCAGACCTGCTCATCAAGAACATGTCACATGCTTTGGGAACCCCAGATATTGTGAATGCAGGGGGGGACCTCGACACCCCGCCAAACTTCTCTGCCGACGGACGATTTCTACACTGTCAAGGTCTTATCATCGATGTCATTGACCATCTGACACCGTCTCTATGGCCACTAGTGCCAGTAACTTCTGAGGAGATCAAGGAATCGACTCCGCTGTCAACTTGCTCTCCAGGAGACATGTCAGAGCTCAAGATCGCACTCTGGAAGACTCTTGTTGGTGGGAGTGCCAACGGCGACTTCGACTCGTCCGCTCCTGAAGAATATGCTCGAATACTGGAATTAAATTGGCCACAGATCACCGACGAGGACGAGATCCCTGACGTTGCAGTCGGCATCATCTCCGAAGGCTGGTGTAGCTCCGATGAAAAGCAAGATTTGACCACATTTCTGCGCCTGCTGCATCGTGCCAGTCGAGACTTTGACGTCTGTGGACATGCTCTCGCTAGCTTTTTCGGCCATGCCACACCACTCGTGAATGCTTCTGCCGAAACCAAGACGTCAGGGTCACAAACGATCAAGAAAGCGCTTCGTCAAGTGGGTAACACCATGAAACGTCGCCGCTTGGCTGTAATGGGAAACGGGAGACTGGGTGCGGTCGTCCGTCAAGCCCAACAAGGTGATCGTATTGCAGTGCTGCGGGGCTGCAGCACGCCGCTTGTCTTGAGACCGTCCAAGCTGCTGCCATCGGATCCTGGCTTGGAAAACACGGGAGATGCTGAAACATATGCGGTCGTCGGAGACTGCTATGTCCATGGCATCATGAACGGAGAAACAGTGACGGGGACAGACTCTTGGAACAATATCGTGCTCTGTTGAGCTGAGATGAATCTGCTGCGGTTTGCCTTGGAACAGCCAACTACCTGAGCACCCGGAAATATGGAGAACTCGAGAAGACCACGCAACTTTCAAGTCCTCATCGACGTGCCCAACATCGACCACATCATGTCGCTGCCCCAGCACTGGTGATAGTGACAGTGACAGTGACAATGATGGCGATGATAGGAGGACCAGAGGAAATAATACCGGTACCGACAAGAGAGGGTGGCACATCCCGTCGATGATCCCCGGGACAGGCGTGAAAAAGCCGGCGCGAGGATGTTCGCGTGCGCATCACTCGGCGTGTTCTTCTGAGAGCGAATGCTATGCTATACTATGCTATAGTCAGAGTCATACCTACCTACCTACATACATAGGATAGGTGGTCATAGACACAGATACAGACACACACAGATATACAGACACAGAATGTACGAGGGATCTCTAGCTTACCTAGTATACCTACCTACCTGGTACGCTTGGCCGGGGACCCTACCTATAGGTACATATATACTAGGGTATGAACATGTTTCGGGCTCGTCATGTTCATGTATTCATTTCGCATTGGATGTGTAGCCTGGGCATGGGTCATGGCCATGGCGCGATCAGCATTGAGGTCTCTTTCATGTCCATCCGGCCTTGGTCGTTGCTTGTTCCTCGGTACTTACTGCTACTAGTGCACCATCCATCCTCATTGCTGTGTGCGGCTCATTCTGTCTTTCTCTATGACCTCCATCGTCATCATCGTCATCATCGCATCGCCAGTGCCAGCCACAGATCCTGCACCAACTGTAACCCCCTTTCTGCCAATCCAGCTGCCCGGGACCCCTTGCACTGTGTAATTTCCAATTCAGCAGCAACCGGTCATACGTTCTTGCTCGAAAGAAAGAGAGAAAGACAACCCCCGCGCGCACGGTCTATCTGCCTGTCTTTCTGTCCGCCCGTCCCACTGGCCAACTTGCACCTCCATCTCAGGCTGTCTCCTCTATCCTCTGCCAAAAACTGCAAGCGCGAATCCCCTTTGACTGCATGCTCGACGGCTTCGATATTGATGCTTTCAATGCTGACCCCGGTGTCGAACCCATCGTCTGTCCTTGCGATAAAAGTCGTGGTTCGCTCAAGACATTCACATGTCGCCTGCTGCTTGATTCGTGTTTATGTTTGTCTTCGCGTCATGACTGGACTAGTACTCGATTTCTTCTCATTCCGGCCCGAGTCCTCTGCCCCTTGTTTCTTCATCCTACCACGCCATACCATGCAATGATCCTATATCATGTCCCACAAACGACACGACAGGAGCCATAACGAAATACCGACGCAGACAGATCTCTGCCACATCATAATCTCCATACAGCGCTTACTTTGCACTGCATTAGAATCCGAAATCCATAGGATCAAACTCTTTGTTTTCCTCGAATCCATTTGTCCAGTCGCATGAAACACCCGGACCGGCAGTGCCAGTGGCAGACACAGCTGTTCCCATCTCAAAAGATCCGTCGCCCATGGTGATCATGTTTGCGTCGGTCGCCGTGTCATGGTTGCCACTGTCGGGCATCACGAATCCTTCTGGGTAGCCGCTTGTACTGACGGCGGTGTTCAAGAGCGTGCTCTCAAGTCCAACAACATTCTCACTCCCGTCATGAGGCATACCAGTGTCCATTGCTCCAGGCAGAAACATGTCCATGCCCATCATTTCACTGAACGTCATGTGACCAGCGTCAAGAAGGCCGATATCTCCAAACAGCGTGCTTGCAGGCGCATCCGCCATGTTGTCCCAATTCATGTTGGGGTCATAATCCACCACTGGTGCGCCGAGAGAACGAAGCTCCTCTTCTGTGCGACGATTGGTCTCCGCCAGGGTCTCGGATATGGTGTTTGGACAAGACCCGGTCGAAATAGGCTGCTGCGGTGTCGGTAGATGTGATCGCAGTGCCGCTGGGGTGTCATGTGCTGGTGTCTTGGTCGAAGATTGGGAACAAGACTTTTTCCGTGCCGACTTGTTCTTGGGAGTCTGTGAGGCTCGACTATTAGAGGTCTGAGTACTTTTGCGCGGAGTGCCAGAGCCAGGAGAACTGAGGGACGCTTTCGGGCCAGCTCGCGAATGCGTGGAGCGGCGTCGCGAGGCGGGAGTCGGAGTGTCTGGCACTCGCTCTCGGGCTGCATTTGGGCTGTATCCTAACAATTGCTGCTGTCTGTCGGCACGGCGATGCACACTTGCTCGTCGGCCTTGTGCCTGGTGCGGTGGCTGTTGTTGTGAGCTCGATGCGCGGGAGTGCGGCAGTGACTGATGGAATTGACCATGAACCTGGGTCTGTCCATGCATGTGAAGCTGTGGCTTGCTTTGATGTTGAAATTGACCACAAGCTTGAGCGTGCGGATGAGCTTGAAGCTGGGCTTGGGCAGGCATTTGATATTGAGTTTGCATGCCCAACATGGGTCGATCCTGGTCTGGCAGCTGAAACATACCAAGGGATGCACTTTCAGCCTGGGCATTACCAAAGCTGCCAACTGTAGACGGACCCTGGGTGTTGTTGGTTTCAATTCCATCTTGGCTCATGTGCCTGGCCTTGCGCTTCTTCCCGACCATGACATCTTCTTCTGCCTCATTCTCAATCGCCACCATTGTACCACTTGGCAAAGGGACCGGGAACTCGAACCCAGTATAGCGGGCTACCGTGGATGGTGGTGGCGACGGATCGGTACGGTCTCGCTCGAGCCATTTGAAGCCCCCTACGATATCGTCGTTGAAATGTTCTGCCAAGGTCAATCCCAGTGACTTTGTTGTTCGTGGTGTGTGTTGGAAGACCTGGTGCGAACCGAATATGTCCATACGGGCACGCTTGGCTGATGGTTGCTCGGCGGACGAGGACCCGTAGTCGAGGAAGCTGCTGCTACCGCCACCGCTGCTCAATAACTCGTTCTTCACATTTGGTGTATTTGGTGAGACCATGTAATTTGTAGACACGGTGCGGCTTCTTTGATTAGCCATGAGCTGCATCTGGGTGTTTGCGAGTGACGAGTAACCTGGAAGAGCGGGCATACAAGTCGACACGCTGCCCATTGAAAAGGGCTGACCAGGTGCTGGACTCGGAGAGTAAAGAGGTCCCATCGAGACATTGTCGCCTGGAATCTGTTTCGCTGATGCGGAAGCAGGAAACCCAGGCATTTTGAAAGGACTGCCCAGTTTTTGGGTCGCCGGTGTATTCTGCTGAGGGGGCGAAGACCGTGGAATTGCCTCCGTGCTTGTAAGAGCATTTCCACCACTGCATCTCTTCACGTTTTCTGATTCCTTCTGAAGAGAGAGGCTGCGAGGATGAAAATCGGCAAACTCTGCTGTCCTCGGTATCTCAATCGGAGAATTGGACATGGCCTCAATCAGCTTTTGAGAAGCGGAGCCAGGCGTGGCAGGTGAAGTAGAAGGTGCGGCAGAAACATTGGTTTTTGGTGTGCTGACGATGCCCGTTGCATCAGCAGCGACAGCATGAGGAGAGACTGTATTGGCTCCTGCGTTCCCGCTCGGCTCGTTGATAGGGTTTGAAGTTGCGGCCATATTGGACCAATCTTGGTCGCCACCTTGAGTAGGGCTTGGACCTCTTTCGACGTACGTTTGCAACAACATTGCGAACTCATCATCGTCTGGCTGACCAAAGACGGTGGCCGGATCTGGATCAGGAAGCAAGGAAAAGACATTCTCCAGTGTGCCGTTCGTCACATCATTCACATTGTCAGGGGAAATGTCGATGGCAGATTGATGCAGCTGTGACGGATCACCGGCTACAAACGGGTCGGCCATGTCGGTGAGATATGGATGACCGTTTGTAGCACTTCCAGCTGACCCAGTTGCCGTGTCCATGCCGTTTGAGTGTATATAAAAGGTTGACTCTAGCCTTGTACTCGATGAAGTAGTTGCTGGAGTGTCAAAGTTGAACTGGTCGGAGTTGTCAAATTGCCCGCGATCCATCTTCGAAGGTGCAATGTGAATGTGACAGGGGATGAGACTGTTTGTAGGTTGACATACGCAGAGATCAAGGGATAGTACAGGCTAACGATACAGAGGAAACTTGGGGTAATGGATGAGAGTTTGAAGATGAAAAGATTGAGAACGAGGGAGGAACGATCGAGGACGGTGAGAAGAGCGATGATTGAAAACAGAGTCGAACAAAATGCTCTCACCTGACCATGGTCACGGTTTGCGAGGTGTGGCAGAACCATCACATCACATCACATCTGCTGCAAGACAATAACAAACCCACCTATTGAGCCATTCTGCCAGACCTTGTTTTCACACCCAGCCTCTTCCAGCAGGGACAATGGCGACAGTGAATTGAGACACAACCAGCCTCCTCACACCGTGTTTAATGAAGATTTGGGTAATCTGAATATCGACTTCAGCCAAGACCAGCGAGCCAAGTGTCGTATGTATATAGTCGGGCATCGTTCGATTTGACCTGCAATCAATGCAGTATGTCGAACCAGCACAGCTTGCAGACATCTTCATCTTGTTTTGCATCACATCCGGGACAACTGAAGCAGGCACACACCACGATCCCACTGTCTGACTTGATGAGTCTGCCATTGCGGGCATGTTATCTTGAGTCCACCTTGCCGAGTTCTCCGAGATCCTGCAACCCTGGACAGCAAAGAAACGCGAAATGGAGGGCATTCCACCGTCTCGCAGCTTCTCACATTCTCTTTCTCTCCAGGAAGAATCGGCCTTTGTTTGTCTTGCTTTTGAAAGAATATCACGCCAGGAACGCATGGCGGGGGAGGGATTATCACCAGAATTCGGGTGTCCGGCAAGAGAGTCATACAAGAATCGCGTCGAACGTCTCTGAACAAACTCACGTTCATTGTGGAAGATGCTGTCTCACATTTCATAGACATTCACATATCAAGAGGCAATTGAAAAGGAACTTGAGTCTGAGATGGAGTTTGGAGTGGAGTCAATCCGGCAGATCTTCGGACTATATACTGCATCACGTGTCTGAGATCACATGTGCAACCCCCTTTTTCATACATATCCCTTGAGACATTCATGCAGTGATGCGTCTGTTTCTCTCGCGTTGTGTCAACAAAGTGCCTCCGAAATCAGGACCGTTTCTGTGGTGCACGGGGATGCCATAACCTGTATACACAGCCCCTACAATACTAGTGCAACCCGCACATCAATACGCGCAAAGACCGCCTCCCGCATCCTCCAGATCCCAAGCACCCGCCATCCCCACAATCTGCGGTTCATCAGCGTCCAGATTCTCGGCACGGGTGATTCTATCCTCGAATGCAATCTCGGCGTCGGCTTCCGTGCGGCGGCCTCCCATGAGCAGTTTGCGGGCCCAGGCATCAATTGCTGGCTCGCCAGTCTCGTCCCTCGCCTGCTTCAAAAAGGGGATCAACGCCGTGCCACCAGTCCCGCGCATTTTCTTCTTCTTCTGCGTCGAACCTGCTTCTTCAGGCCGGCCATAACGAATCGAGGCTATTCCTGTCCCGCCCCGAGGGATTTCATCAGGGCTGCTCTCTCTCCGCGTCCTCGACATGCTCCTCGATTCTCGGCTCTTGACAATAATGTACCTCGAAACCATCTGGATGTGCTTGTCTCGAAGAGATCGAAGCATGGCGAGACAGGCATCATATGATACTGTCAGCTGTTGATTCGACTTGTTGTACTCAACAAAATCTCGAATATTGGCTGCCCCTTCCACTGCTTGGAGGAACCTTCGGTGAGGGCCAGGCATATACTGTCTCATTTCGTGGATAAAGTTATTTCGGGGCTTGGGAGCTGCGCCTGGCTCGGCCTCTGATTCCGAGGTCTCGTCCTTTTTCGACCCGGTAGGTCTGTGCTCGACCCCGAGTACGATGTCGAAGAATTGGATCAGGCTACTTTGCGCGTTGGAGCCCCCACCGTACTGGCGCCACGTTGACTGCCTACTCCCATCATCGTAATATACGCCGCGGGGTAGTCCGGCATCTTTCATGTTTTTACTTCCGGCCAAAAAGGGTCTTATGCGGTGATAGAAGACGTGTGGGTCGCAGCTGTCGTACATCCTCACCAGCAGCGTGCCCAGCTCATCGAGTGTTTGAGCAACCGACTGGAGGCACTTTGTGACTGTGTCCACATCGTTGTCTCGAGCTGCTTGCATCGCCTTCAGCAGGAGGGGTATTGAGGGGCCGCCTTTTGCCTCCATAGCCACGCTGACCAAATAAAACCATTGTTCGTCCAGCGAACCTGTAAAGGTGATCAAAGTGGAGAGATTTTCCAACGCGAGATTGTCGGAAAGGAAAAGTGGCTTCCAATTCCACAGAACGAGGCCGGCGTAGGTGGCGACAGGAGGGAGTTCCAGGTACTCGGAGACTTGTAGAAGAGGGTAGGTGATAGATGGGGGTAATCGCTATTTGAATCCAGTCAGCATTTCTCTCATTCCACGACGCTGGGTATCGACTTGCCTCTGAAGGTTTGTCCCCACCCCAGATGTATCCATGTGCCAAAAAGGTCAAAACACTGTATGCTCTGCGCCACTCGGTGTCGGTCTCGAGGTGGACTGCGGGGATGACTGGTAATTTATCGATGACTGCTCTTAATCTTTTTGACAGTAACAACGATTGGAAGTTGTTGATGATCCGCTCCCAGCGGTCATAGACAGGATGTGACAGACACTGCAGCGGCAGCTCTGACGGGAGGAAGCCCCGCACTGGCGAGATGCCATAGTCTTCGACACAAGGGATCGGAGGAAGCATGGTGACTTGCGGAAGACGCTTCGTGAATGACCGGGGAATAATTGCTCGCAGGGCGCAAGGCTGTTGGATCTTCTGCTCGGCAGGTCAATGCCTTGCAGGATAGCCTTGTTGACTCGTCGGAGTTGGAGAACAGAAAATCGTGAGGGTTTGAATTGCCACGAGGATCCTGCAGGCTTTAGGTGATAAGTAGCACACGAGACCAAGATGGTATTGGTCAGCAGGGAAAGAAAAAGTCACGAGATGGAATGAAAGAAACGAGGAAAGGTGCGCTTAAGAGAAAATAGTAATCTGGACAAGAAACCTGGAGCAATGGAAATATCGGCGCAGAGGACAAGCCCAGCCTTTCGGGTAGAATGCGGGAGTCACCGGACCAAGTTGGGAGCACACAAACAACAATTGAAGAACAGCCTGGAAAGGGTACCGGAAAGAGTGATCTCATAAATGATGAAACGGCAATCCAATCATTAAATTCTGCACTCAGCGACCGATCTCAGGCCCGGCTCGCAGGCTGAGGCGAATGTGAGAAGTAACCGGGAAAAATTATAAACAACGTTGACGAGGGGCCCGGAGCTCGGATCTCGGAGGTAAGAGAAAGAGAAACGAATTTTCTTTTTCCGGTTGGTTCATCATTGGTGTCTTGGCAACTGCCAACAATGGTCGTGGATTCGATCACGTGATGGTCTATGCCTATATTGGTAACCTCGGTTTCGAGTTAGCAGCCTCGCTAATAAACGATCCCCCACTCGTTGTGCTACTCGTCGACCCGAGTATCCCATTCTCCCCAGGTACATAACGTGATAATTCATCTTGACCGGGGATCAACCCCACAGAGCGCATCCTACTCGCTTCTTGCATTAATCCTGGACACTTGCTGACTGATCGCCTCTTATGCCTGTTTCCACCACTTATGCAGCCTTGCGTGGCAACAGGAAAGACTCGCAATTGCCAAATCAGGTTGTTCTGTTCTAGGCAATGCCATTGGCACTCAGAATCTGCCGAAATCAGCAAAGATGTATGGTCTATGTGAGCATGACTATTCATAATAGTTCTGCACTTTCAAGCCCTTGAATTCAAACGCGGTTCCTTCCCGCTTATGGATGACGGTTTTATCGTGGACATCCTTGACACGTGCTCGAACGTACTCCGTGCCCGTTGGAACAGGTCTGTTAGGATCTTTGTCCTCTTCAGTGAGAAGGCCGAGGCGATCCAGAAGAGGGGAAGGCACCGGCTTCATTGGTGTCTTGTCACCTGGGCGACTGAAATACAGCAGTCCGAGACGAGGCGTATTCAACTGATCCTTGGGAGGTGTAACAACACGGTGAACGGTCGATTTGATGAAACCTATCACACAAGGTCAGTTGAGGTTTCCTTTGACAGTGGAGTTCTACCGGAATACTCACCTTTGGTCAGGAAAGTCAGGGTATCAGCGGCGTTGCAGGTGATGCCTCCTTCGACCGGCTTAACCCATTTCCACTCTCCTTCTGGAGTTCGAATCTGCAGCCCAGCAATATGCTGCGAGAACAGCAACGTCAAGCTACCAAAGTCGGTATGGCCGCCCTTGGAGTAAGCCTGGGCCTTGTCCCATTCCTCCTGGGTTCTAACGTTATAGATCATATACCGGAGGTGATCATCCGATAGCTCATCATAAGCGTGAGCGTCTACCAGGTAGTTTTCTGGCAGTTCAAGGATGATCGACATCAGGACAAAAAGCTTGCGGGCAACTTTATCCCAGAGTTCACGATGGAAACTGCGGATCTCCTCCCAATATTCCTGCGTAATTGGGTGCTTGGGGACATCAGCCAGGGCTGGGATGTCCTTGGGAATATTGAGCTGTGACATTGTAAGTTCAGGATCGAGCCTGCAACTGCATTGGCCTACTTACCATTTCAATGTTATCTTTAACACCAGTGTCACCAATCCATCTCGAGTTCTCGCGGTATCCAAAGTACTCGCCTTCGGCAAAGTTGCAGGGGAAGAAACGTTTCTCCTCCAACGGCTGCTTGAAGAACGTATTACCAATGCTAAACTGGCGAAGGACCTTCTTGTCGTCGATGCCAGTGTTGGTCACGACCCAGAACCCAACTCTGGTGAGGGCATCATAGAGCTGCTTCGCAAGTTCTTGCTTGCCACCGGGCTCATCGAAGCGCGACAGGTCAATGGTCGTCAGGGGAGCCCAATCGAGCTTCTCCGTCGTCTCTGACGGTCGGACCCATGGTTTCACAAGGACATGCTTGGAAACATCGGCCTGAGTGGCCGGTTCTGCAATTGCTGACGGAGCCATCTCACTCAATATTCAGCCTGATGTGCTAATTTCTAGGAAAATATGCAGGGTTTGGTCAAGCGAAGCAACAGATATTGATGTCCTCCACGGAGTACTTGACCGAAAGGACAGGGAATGTCACCAGACATATACCTGGCTGGAGGATTGCGGGGTTTATCGTTGTGTTTTCTGTCATGCATCTTCGGTATGAAGTCCTGGTGTATTACTCTACACCCAATTACTAACTATGGATATATGCAGATTGCGTGCTTTTGTACTAAGGCGACGTGCTGTCTCCCTTCTCCGACATCAACCTCGTGATACCTTGTGTATCCCCATCAAACAGATGGACAACTACAAATTGATTTTGCTAAAGGTGTGAGGGGAAGCTTTCTCTTCCGCTCTACCCACAAGGGAATGTCCGCCTTGACTATCCCAAGCAACGCCTAAGCTTCCGGCGACTTATATCCAAGAGGTATGTCGCCATACCCCTTATCGTGGTGAAATATACCGCCAATCGCCGTGTCAAACGCGCGTATAGGACGCCTGAGGTACCGCAATGGACAACGTTACAGCAGTTATGGGACGAGGCCCGGCGGATTGTTGACGTCTTCCGAGATGCTCATGTCGTGATGATGGACAGCAAACAAGACGGGGTCTACACGAAAAGCTTTAGTAAGGTTCGCCCCGAGCTCCTTATTTATAAGGTCGTCCTTGGGTGTATGACCTGCGGAATGGACAGAGGCCAGACGAATAGCTTTGTCTCTATCTCTTCTTTCATCGCTCGAATTCGGGAGAATGGCAGCTGAGAAAACCCTGGGTGACACGTTCACCCACATCGTTGCCGAATCACCGACTCCGAGTGAGAGGGACGTTGTGTTTGACGAAGGCGACGAGGCTTTCGAAAAGAAGGTCCTGCGCAAGGTCGACCTTTGGCTCGTCGGGTTCTACTCGCTGGTCTATATCTTCCGAGTCATTGACTCGTCCAACTACTCCAACGCGGCCATCATCAACCTCGAACATGGCACGGGCATCAAGAAGCAGCTCGGCTTCGACCCCTCTCAGTGGGCATGGACCCTGTCCATCTTCTCCTACAGCTACATGATCTTTGAGCCGACCAACACCGTGCTCCTCAAAACCTTCCGTCCGCGGATATGGATGTTCGTGCTGATCCTGAGCTGGGGCATTTGTGCCTGTTCGGTGGCTGCTGTGCAAAACTTCCCGGGCATGATGTGTGCCCGTTTCGCTATCGGCATGGCTGAGGCAGGGTTCTACCCGGCCGTGCTGTACCACATGGACTTCTGGTACCGGCCGACAGAGATGCCGTGGCGCATCGCCTTCTTCTACTCGGTGGGCCAGCTCTCCAGCGCGTTGAGCGGCCTGTTGGCCTACGCCATCAGCTTCATGGACGGCCTCGGAGGCCTGCCGGGCTGGAGATGGCTCTTCCTGCTCGAGGGACTCCCGGCCATCATCCTCGCCTTTGTCGCTCTCTGGGGACTGCCCGACTATCCCCACACGGCACGCATGCTGAACGAGAAGGAGCGGCTGTTCATCGAGCGTCGTCTGGCGGACACGGCACCGTCGGGCAAACGCCACAACTGGGATTGGGGGACGCTGAAACAGCTCTTCAAAGACCCTACCGTCTATACCTTTGGGCTGTACTGGATTGCTCACGGCATTGGTGGCTTTGGTATCTCGTACGCCCTGCCGACTGTGATCTACCAGCTCGGCTTTACTGGGACGGCAAACTCGCAATTGATGAACATTGTAAGGAGGATGTCCCCTTTCCCCCCTTTTCCTCCTGAAGGTATTACAAGTTGCTGACCAGCCCTTCCAAACAGCCACCCTACGTCTGCTGCTTCTTGTTCCTCAACACCGCCGGCAACCTGATCCATCGGAAATACATCCGGCCATGGACCTGCGCCGTTGCAAGTACGTGCAGACAGAGATGAACTCTCTCCTTTCCCTCCCTAGTTCCCGTTCGAGCACTAACTTTGTCGCTTGTCCCACAGTCGAAAGCACCACCATCGTCTGCTACATCATCCTGGTGACCGTCCACAACCCGGTTGTCAAGTACATCGCACTGATCGTGGCCGTCTCGTGCGCTGGCTCTGCCTACCCGGTCATCTGGCCCGAGCGGATTCGGGCGCTCGAGGGCACCGTCGCCGCCGGGATCGGGATCGGGTTGACCAACGCCTGCGCCCAGTGGAGTGGCATCGTCGGCCCGCACGTGTACTCGACCGTGTTTGGGCCGACGTACCACAGATCCTATGTCATCTGTCTGTGCATTCTCATCGTGTCCATCCTCTCGATCCTCACGTCGTGGTTCCTCATCGCACGCCGAGACAGGCAAAGGGCCGCGTTGAGAGCGATAGAAGAGAGCGTTGTGCCGCACGGGAACTGACAGGCTGGTAGACAGACTTGCTCCGCCCCTTATCACGGGATACACAAGTATGGGACAGACATCAATATCCATGGATAGCACGTACATAGATTAGTGTCCGACACTCTCCGTACTTCGCCTAATGATACATCCTGTGATAAGCCCTTTTCTTCATGCGTGACTGCTGGTTCGCCCTCAAGTGATTTCGATTCGATGGGTTGTTCAAGCGAGCGCCTCTTGCCTGCGCCTTACAAGGCCAAGCTGTGAGACTGATCAGTGGGAATCGGGACTGTGATCGTTTCTCAATGTCACCCAGGGCTCTCCCCGCGTGTGACAGTCGTAAGAATTGCAGACTCGCGAGTGCTGCCGCTCGTCGAAACCACAAGATTCTCTCCGCCCGTGTCCACATCGACCAAAGCCGTGAACGGTAGCATTCGAACATCAATAAACCGCCGGAATGAGCTGATGGCCTGTGACAATGTCTGTAAGATTCAAGCATATCCAATCCAATCCATTTCTGAGAGATTTACAGTCATTCACGTCTGCTTGCCTATGTCTTCTTTCGGAACGGAGTGATATACAATGACCGGACTCTTGGGTCCGAAGGTCTAGTTCAAGCAATTCCTGCATCATCTGCCTCTTCATAGCCACTCCACTTTAATCTCAATATCCTTTCGTCGTCCGTCCGTCGCTGCCCCCGAAAAAAAGAATAAGAAAATCTTCAACTTGGAAAAGGGGAAAAAGAGTCGCTTGCTTTGGCGCCTTGAAAGGTCCTCCGTACATGGTTCATGAGTACAGGAATATGATGCATGCGACCTGCGAGGAGGCCGCTCTGCTGAAAGACAGCGAAAGAAGAACCAAGTAGCTCGATCGCCGAGAACTCCGTCCATCTTTGGCTGGCGCCGGATGGGGCAAGAGGATTTGCTCATCTCCGAAGAAAAGGAATGTGGAATTCGAAGTTAATTGCACTTTTGGCGGGAAGTGTCGAAGTGGCGATTCTTTGCCATACTTTGGATCGAAAGAACTGGTAGAGCCGTTTCCCCCCCCTGGTAACGCCGGTGGTATATGCAAGTCGTGGGCAAATCGAAGCAGTAACGAGAAAACGCCATAGCGATGCCGGTGATCATCATATGAGACCACACATTCGAAGGTTCTCTTGGATGATGATATCTAGAAACTGTCAGAAAAAGGAAAATCAGGGATGATCAAAGAGTGCTGACCGTTGACCGCGCCCATCACGAATCTTATCTGTGTGGTATCTGTGGCGCAGGTAAAGTGCGTGTAGATCTGCTTGGTCTCTGCCTGGTTGAGCGACACGAATCGGTTCAGGATATAGTCACAAGCAGCGGCGTAATCAGGACCACCTGGGTGTAAAATGTCAGCAGATGCATGCTTCAGTTGACGAGATTGTAACGCACCTTCGTAGTCAGGGAAGTAGTTTTGCATCGGGCTTACGGGCAACTTCTCCTTGAATCTGTCGATTTTATTCAAGAACAGGATGATGCTGGTCTTGATGAACCACCGGGAGTTACATATGCTGTCGAACAGTGTGAGGGCCTCTTGCATTCTGTTGACAGTCTCATCTTCAAAGAGCAACTGGTCATATTCTGATATGGCCACCAAGAAAAGAATTGTGGTGACATTTTCGAAGCAGTGAATCCACTTCTTTCGCTCGGAACGTTGCCCACCCACGTCAAACATGCGATACGTAAGGTCCTGGATGATGAAGGTGGTCTCGGTGATACCGGTTGTTTTGACTCGCGATCGCAGGACGTCTTGGTCATTGGGAAGGTAGTCGTGAGCGGCGATGCGGTCAATAGAATCGAAATAACTGGCACAAAAAAAGTCAGCGGAGGTAGTAGCAAGGGATTTGAGGGGGGACCAGGACTCACTATCGTGCCGAATCGTTCAATTGATACTCTCTTGATCGTTTAAAGCATTCCTGGACGCCAGCATCCTGCCACAGGGCCTTGATAGCTGCGCCCACCTCGGGTGGCAGGCTGTCACCTTCTATCTGTGGTGGCTGCATGAAGATTGTCTGGACATGATATTCGGCGCGCTGGTCGTCCAGAGGTAGCTCGAGAGACTCCATGGCCTCCAAAATGACACGCATGGACTGGACGGTGTTGGAGTAGATGATTTCCTTGAACGATTCGCGTTCGTCGCGCGAATAACCACCCTCATGGATGAGTTTCATCTGCTTCAGAATTGTTGACTTCCCAGATTCACCGGCACCTGAAGTGTGGTTAGACCAAAGCTGAACCCAACAGAACAGGGAGTCCGCATACCAAGTAGAAGCATTTTGATCTCATTGCGCTGGGCCATTTTGTCCCTCTTCAGCTGGTTGTCGATCTCATCATTTCTCGCCTTTCCGGCGGTATCTTCCTTGCTTGCACCGCACCCCATGTTTGGCTATCTCCAAAAAGAGTCTCGAAGTGATAAGGACGAATTCGGGGGTCTTGGGGGACAACTGAAGTTCAACTGAGTGAGTAAACGTCTGTGCTCAAAAACGTCGAGAGAAGATGCGCGTTTGAGAACGTCCTCCGAAGATTGTAGAGAGGCGTACTTGCGCGTCACGTCCTCGGACCACTCACCTCCAGTTCAAGCTTATGAGAGGTTTATCAAAATGAGGGCTGGT